AAAGAGAACTCTTAGATACACATTTGAGTGGTGATTTGGCATACTTCTTTTTTTATTAGAGACGTATATCAGCAGGTCTGTAAACGTCAGTTTCTCAACATCAATATAAAATACGCCCGAATAAAGTGCATGCAATATTTTGAGTATATTGCTAATTTTTCTCGTGCAACAAGTTGATTCTTAAACAGACATATTGGTCAGCAGGTACTTCATTTCTGGTTCACATATGATGTGTTCACAAGTCCTATGATGTCAGATACAGATGCTCAGTCCCATATAACGTACATCTATCTAGATAGGGCATGGGAACGCTTACTAATCGAGACGAGTGGGCTGGTATGTTTCATAGATTTCCTACACTGTAAATGGATAAACTACATAGATAAACATATAAATCGACAACCCGATTGGCGTCGTGGATACCTGTCTTTGCACAGGGTGTGGTTTTGATCCCCATTACCGGAATGATATTGTTTTGATAAACATAGTATTTTTTATTACTGTCTCGGTGTTTATATATTTATAATAGTACTATATAGTATAGATCCTCTATTTACCGAAAATCAACGACGATTAAAAACTATGTTATTTATAATAATTATAATAATTATAATTATTATTAATTATTACAAACTAGCTTTCCGCCCGCTCTCTGTATTTTTAAAGGAAGATATTTTCAACCCTTTACAACACTTTTTTTCCGATTAAAAATAGCCTATGTCCTTTCTCAGGCTCTATACAATCTGTGTACCAAATTTCATTTAAATCAGTTCAGTAGTTTTGGCGTAAATGTGAGACAGACAGACAGGGTTAGTTTCGCATTTATAATATTAGTATGGATTATCCCGCACAGTCAAGTAATAACAGCGACAGCGGTGATTGCTTGTGCTTGGCGCGACTACGGGGAATTGATTTTCTCCAGTATCTATGCGTATATATATATATATATATATATATATATTTTGCGGGGGGGGGGGGGATTTTGGAATATATACCAGTTATGTATTTATTAATTGGGAGGAACCGTTATAAATAGTGTGTGACTTACACCACTCATTGATTTAGGTCTGGTGTTGTTGTTACAGTGTCCGGAATTTATTTTGGATCCTTGGTGTGCATAGGTGTCTTTTGTCGGGATTAAAAGTGATAGGTAGCCACGCCAAGGTTGAAAAATCTGTTATGGTATATGCAGACGTAGGGATTCGTCTTTACATATTAGGCATTAGACTGCTGAAACCAAATCCCTTTGGGAAGTTTTAACCTAACGATATCTTTGAGTGCAGAATCTCGTCGGAAATGAATGTCATCGGTCAGGTATGGTTTATTTATTATTTATTTATTTCTTAAGATTTAAAAATAGCATGTCTCTTGAGGGTGTACAGGGTTATCTGGGTTTCTTACTAAATACACCTATCGGGTTTACCAGGCCCATCCGGATCATCCATGAACCCAGTGTTCCCTTTCAAACGCCTTTCATGACAGGCCTTTAGCCATATTATAAAATAAAAGGTTAAGGGTGGGTGGCACTCTGGGCAGCGTATAACCAGGCCCGGTCTCTGTAATCGTTTCTGCGATATAAACATCAATCTTTTTATTACGTAAAAAGGGAGCCAGCAATTACTAAGTGATTATCGCCGCTCATGTATATCATCATCATCGACAACACCCGGTGGGTTGCAGATAAATGCATGGCAAAGGCTATACTAATAAAAAGTGGGCTAGGCTTACCTGATGTCGTATTATTCGCCAGTATAATACTGCCACATCACGGCAGTCTTGGGTGAGGCCGTGGTACTTCTCCGGACGAGCAACAGAAGCTATTGCACGATGGGCAAGTGGCTCTACCCCAGGAAAATTAAATTCCGTAAGAATGTCTACTGGTGCCAACCAGGTACGACAGTATCATCTGAATAGCTCTCTTTAATTTATGAGCTAGGCTCTTATCGGCGCAGCATCCCAGTAGTTCAGCTGCGAAACACCCTTCTTCATCCTTCCCTATTGTAATCCCTTTCCTTTACCTCTCTATCGGTACCAGCATTTATTTTCTTCTATATTTGAGATGTATAGCCTATCCTCGATCTCTCTCTACCCGACTTTCCTTCTATCGTTCCCGCATATCTTATGTTAACTGCATAGCAAATGACACTAATACTTACGGAGAGAAAAATCCACAGGACCGTGTTATAAGCAAGGTTCCAAAGTAATGAGCCTCATACGGCCTTTAGTGGAACCCTACAGTTCACCTCCTGTGCAAATACGAACCGATGATACGCTGCAGATAGGGTGGCGCGTGATGGTAGATCAGAGCCTCCCGGGTTGCATCCCAGGGCAGTTTATTAAAAGCATTGATCCCATCCAAGCTGACTGCCAATGCCACACTACACTTGGACGCTAAGAATCACGTTTATGCCACACCACACCACACCTGACAAAAGCCAAAATGGTTAAAACTTTTTCTTTTTCTTTTTTACGTGGGGGAAATGCCTACGCATACCTCTCCTAGCGGGGGCAAGGACTAGTTTTGTCAGACTTGCACCGACTAAAACCCCCACGCAGACCTAGGGTGCATATCGGCAGGTCCACGAGAATGCATTTCCGCGACCCAACCAGGGCTTGCGGCATCAGAAGCCCCTCCTCAGGGCCCAACACCACTCTCCTCCAAGTAAGGAACGCTGGAACATTCAGCGCGCCTTACTACACGACCCAATTTGCATGACCATATCATCATCTGGGTAAATCAAAATCATGCGTATACCATACGATCTTCAATACCGTTTTGTCTTTCAAGCATTAATATTCAACCCAACAAGACACACTTCCTATCTTCCCTTTGCTGATGAGAAATTCTTAAGTGATAAACCTGTGATGAAACAATTGAGTATCGAGTCATTTTTCTGAATGAAACCTCTGGCACTATTATACCCGAGTGGCAATTGCACCAGCTCTAACATCTTGTCATCTTATGGGTATTTTGCCAGACACCGTTGATTGGGAACAAGATCTTGACCTTACAAGACCATCATTGGACATCGACTTATCCATACGAAGCTGGGATTTGTTTTGTATAAGCCAACACTACTACTAACCTGGATTATTTATTTCCCCCTACCCAGTTCTAATACACAGTCTTGACGGGATGAGATAGTAGATTCTCCTTCAACGCCGTACGACAGAATGTGCAACAAGTAAATATAAATTAAAAAGCTAAAAATCCCGACTGCATTCCTGTGTAATTTGGTAAACACAGTAAATACGAATCTAACGACACCTTCCAAGCTAAAACCCATCAAGCCGTTCAGGCTGCGGAGCGTGTCAAACAATTATACATACACTCGAAAAACATAACCCTTCTTCTGGCGCAGTCGGGTAAGAATGATAATCCACCTTTTAACCTCTGTTAGTTTTGTACGACACCCATGTCCAGTAAGGGATGCTTATCTAAAATAACACGGTCACATCACATATTTTCACGACAAAGAGGCTTTGAGGCATGATTATTTTTGACTCTAAAACGTTACTTTTATATCATAACGTGGTAAATACTTATATATGGATTTAACCTTGGTAGTAATACTTTGCGAAATTCTTTTTAATGTAAAAGTGACCGTAATAGCATTGACAAGACACAATATTATTTATTACTTATGATGATCAAGCCGTATTCTATTAAATATTTGCATAAAACTAACTTGATTGAATTTATCTATTTTACATAAATTCAAACAATTTTTATTTCACCCGAGAGTAGACTATTAACATGTTAATAACAAATCACTTTTAGTTCGATTTGAACTAAATACACATACGACGATAGAATCATTGATGTCATTCAACTAGAATCTAGATGGTTATTAACCTTGGCGTTTCTAAGGTTTTAAAATATATTTCCTAAATATAAACGAAATAAAAACGAAAAAACAATCCAGCCGATGAGGGGTTTTTTTCACGAAAAATTACTGAAGTCGCGCATTCATTCCACTAAACTTTATAATAATACTGGGCTTAAGAGCACTATCGACTTATGTAAATGTGAACTTTTGAGTTTTTTCCTAAAAAATCTGTTTAATAGCCTACCCTTGTATCGAGAATAAATTAGTCTTATCTGATTAAGTCCGTGGCCTAGAACATTCCGTTGAGTCTTGTTCTGACTGTTCCGACTGCAACGACTTGTACGAAATGCGAAGGGCGTGAAGGAACCTTACCCTTCAATTAGTCTTTATAGTAACATAATGCAACCTATATTTACAAAGTTTTACTTACTTTTCACATTTGAACTCATTCTAAAATTTATCTTTTACTAGCGACCCGCCCCAACTTCTCACATTATTATACATATAAACCTTCCTCTTGAATCACTCTATTTAGTAAAAAAAAACCTCATCAAGATCCGTCGCGTGGTTTTAAAGATCTAAGCACACATAGGGACATACAGACAGCGGGACGACTTTATTTTATACTATGTAGTGATCCTTCGATCTTCGGATTTTCTTTTCACTCAAAAAGCGGCCAGTGCTTGGCTACCATCACTGCTGCTGGTAAACGCAGCAGCTCAGCAAGGGTCTATACAATTTTAAGACTCTTTAACATACTTAACCTTTATGACACTGGAAAATTGTTTTACTGCCAAGTACTTGGAAACACTACTCAAGGATAATATTAATTCAAATGAACGCAAGCTGCTATCGCAAATAAAAGAAATATTTACACATATTTTCCTTTGAATAAAAACTGCATTATATGCTATTATGATTCCTTTGAAATAAATAAAAGTGCTATATGTCCATACGCTTATGATGTTTTTACTTCTAAAAGGGACTGTACTGTAAGGGAGGATAGTTCGAATTCGTGCGCAGTGGAGCTTCCCATAGCCTTAACAATGACCACGTAGAAGCGGACGCAGCATAAATAACGAGAACGAAGTCTCCACCGAGGCAGTGAGTGTCGATCAGTTGCCAAACCCATCGGCACACATTGGTTCCGCTGTTTACGTTTAAGTGAAAATGCAGCCCATATTGAATTTTGTGCTTCTAACCGTGTTCCTTTGTTACGGACACGCTGAAGATGGCAAACTGCGTAAGTTTTTTTTTTTTTTTACTTGTAACTTATAAGTTCGTGGTTTTCGGTGTATTTATTTTATAACTTTATTTTATTGTAGGCGAACTTCATTTTGAAAAATTGTATCACTTTTATCACCCGTGCTTTGAACGTTTCCCTCAATTCACAGTTTAAAAAAAAAATGGCGATATACAAGGGAAATTTATTGTTATATTTATTAAATATGTTTTGGTCATAAATTTGAAATATAGTGTCTATATGAGTCATTAAATATAACACAAATTCATTACTTTTATTCCTTGGAATTTAAGAAACTGTATAAAATTAAGCAAGAACTAAAAAAAAAACACGGACCTCAAAGTAAAAAAAACAGTAGCGATATAAAGTTATTACCAATTTCTATGAAGAATTATTACTCGGATAAATAACTACAGAATTTTAAGATTCATGTTTATAACCAAACTTATTTTAGCCGTATTGTGTAGACTTAGATATTAATTCCCCTCTACAAGGTTAGTATGATGAAAAAGTAATAATGTTTAATTTCCGAGTAGATAACTAATTTGAATTTTGTTGACTTTAATATACAAAATGTTTATAAGTTTTCTATAAAGCTTTTCTTCTATTAAGGTTTGGTGCATGGCACTTTGATCGCTTAATAATATACATTAATATACTTATGTGCCACAAAATTATGTTGTACATCAAATAAAGAATCACGACGACTCTCCTGACTCAATTGTTAAGCGTTTGGATTTTTGTCACGGGTCGTTGATTCAACTCCCGCTGGTCCAAGGCATGTGAAATTTTCAAATATGATGTCAATGTTTAAATCATGAGAAACTCATTTGTGCAAAACATACGTATTTTGAAATTTAATCGAAAATATCGAAAGACAGTGGAAGAAAATATTAATATTGATTGAAAGATTATTTATTAAGTGGTTAATTATTAAGCAATTTTTCTGTGTTAAAATTTAAATTTAAATAATACATTCCATTGCTTAAATTTATGCACCATTTTTATTTTATAGACAGGCTTACTGCATGCTTAGCAATGGAGGAAAGGTTCTGCTAGATAAAATAAAATCCTATACTGCACAGGGACTCGATCAAGTCTCTGCGCACTAAACCAATTTCGGCGTCCAAAAAAATGAAGATCTGAATAGGCTGTTTTTATGTTAACGCTTTTAATCATATTTAGATAAATATAATTTGAAACTGAATTATTAGAGACTACTTACAGTAAGTAGTCTCTTCTTTCGCACCAAGCCAATACGTAGACCCGCGAATGTACGTTTTTAAACCTTCATAAATCGAAATTCAAGAGCCGTGTCCTGTTAATGGACATAATTTACTTAAAATTCATATAAAAACGTCCATACAGTAAACATGAAAGTATTAACAACCTGCAAGATTTGACGTAATTCACCTGTTTAACATTCTGTAGGCGTTTTCATAACCGCGGACTTATCGATTACCGTTTTTTATTCCGTAATTAATCTTAACGTCTTTGTGGTCAAGTTCAAGTGAAGTAATAAATTTTATATACCTATCAAAAAAAATTCTTTTTAACTGTCGATTTTTTTAAGTATATTTTTAATTTCAACCAAAGATTTAAAATAAATTTTACACAAAATCCTATAATTCTCGACGAACTTACGGTATTGAAAATAATTTTTAACAAAGTTTTATAACCAAGTAATTTCCATTTTACTTCAAACTTAGATATCTTCATAGTCAGTTATATAATTATAATGGATAGAAGCCTATGACTGCTAAACTTTAAAGTGGACATGAAACTACATAGTTAATATGAAAGAGATATTGTTGTTATTATGGAAAAACAATCACAGATCCATGGCAATCCATATGATATGATTAGTGTCCTTGTGTTAACGCATGCCACGTGATTTATATCATATCCTATATGACAATAAGCTTGATATATTTAAAGGCCACCAATATTACGTGCAAGATTAGTAAGATAGAAAAGTAATGTTGGTTGAAATAATGTAATATTTTAGATTTTCAGTGTACACAAGCAACCACTGAAACATTATTTTCTTTTCGTTTATTTGACATCTATTTATTGGTATTCGAGCACATTCTTAAGAAACTAGCAAGCACGAGGCGTCATCGTAAAACATAATCGCGTTGTGAAACTATGCAAATCCACTAAGAGAATCGCATCACTAGAGGTCATGCTAACAACCAATAAGGTCGGATTTGAGTAGTTTAAATAAAGCATTTATGCATTTTTTTCATATTTGCTTTGATGTATGTAGATAAATCAATCGGTATGTTTACTTAAACAGTACGTATAGCGATATTTCTAATGTTAATGACCTAATATGGATGTCCGATTTCGTAATAGTTCATATTTACACCTCTGTGCATAAACACGCAAAGTTTTCTTTCGTAGAGTAATAAAAATATCAATAGATAGAGTAATATAAATATAATAATTTTAGTAATATAAACTATATTACTAAAATTATTATATTTAAAAAGTAGTTAGAGAATCACAGAATTTGTAAGAAGCAAACAGCAAATAATCATAACGAAACCTTATGATTAATAATGAAAAATTATTTTATTGGGTGAATGAAATCGTCAAACCATCTTTCAATTAAAAAGAACAATACTCCGCGGTCATTGTTTTTTCGATTTTAGTTAGGTGTAATATTAATGGTCTATATTAAATATACCTCAATATACGACCTCGGAACAATTTGCTTTAGCAGCAATAACAGAGTCGTGATTGCAATAAAGGTCACGAACTGGTAAGCAATTACGAGGAAAATAATTAGGTTTCGAGGATAGTCTACCGCTTCCGACAAAACTTACCTCTTCAGCAGTTAACGAATTCTTAGTCCTTTACATTTATAATACTCAAAATAAGTGTAATGTGACCAAAAATAACTACTGTTGTTTAATTGATATATTAACACCGCATGTCTACATGAAATCAATATAAAATATCTCGCCAATAAACTGGAATACATGCCATACATACCTACATTCCACAATTCAAAGCCAAGCCACGAATTCGCCTCGATTTGCTTAAAAGCACGTACTTGACGCGGAAAGCTGTTTACGATCACGCAGACTTCATCACTATATATCCATTACCAAGTCAAATAACATTTTTATGCCATTTAAATGTGTTTATACGATGAGTTCGATTTTAACTCGCGACGCTTCATTTCCTTATTGTCGATTTTTTTCATGACCCAACCGATTTGCACGTGCGGTTTGCCCTTTAACGGTGTAAATGTTCACTTATTGTTTTTGAAGACATTCTATCTCACTTTAAACTCTTCAAGAAATACGAGAGGTTCACTTCCAGGTCAGGATGTCAAGGATAACGGAATGGTATAAGTGGTCACCTCGCCAACTTTCTTCTGTGTCCCGCGTTTTTATCACAGGTTCTATTCTGTTTGAAATTAAACTCTGGCGACATAATTATTCCTTGTTTAAGCAGTAATAATAAAAAGCTTTTTAACTAAATAGAAGCGACTTCAAAAAACTCAATTAACACTCAAAAGTTTATAATAACACTAAGTCTAATATAATAAAATCATGAAAATCGAACCTATAAGCTAACCTACCTCTAACAAAATTTAACACTTTTTGGTTCGGTGCCAAAGCTGAGCCTCTATGTGAATAAAAATCGAGAGTTTAAGATACAAAAATAGCATATAGCAATAATTGACAATGTGCGCGTTTAATATGTACTCGACGTTGTTGGAAATGTGTAATGCGTCAATCGTATAATTATCCACAATATGCTTACATATTTATTATGTATGGCACTTAACATTTACCACCTCTTATTGCCATTATTTTATCCTAATAAATGTACAACAAAGTTATCATCCGGTTCAAGAATCGCTCGATTTTGATCCGAGCAAGCAAATATGTGAATATGACAACTCGATCACTTAAATTCTTCTGACTTAATTCATGTGAGTACACTATCATAATACATGAAGGAATAAAATAGAGAGCGATGAAAAGTCAACGACTCCGTGGCGCAGTTGCTAAGGAGGGTCGTGGGTTCAATTCTCACACGGGACAACTATTTATGTGACCCACAGATAAAAGATTTGAGTATTTGTTCACGAGAAAAGTATGTATGTGAAACGTCCTTACAACACAGGATAATGTTATCCTACGGTAAAGGCAATGAAAATTTGAAAACTATAAATGAAGAACTCATGCACCCTAAAAAAATCCGAATGAAGGTATAAATATTTTAAATCTTCAGTGAGGTAAAGTGACAAGCCACAGCGTGACTGAACCACAGATGTAGTCGCTCCATATTTAACCCAATTTTCTTTTTTTTATATGCGAGAAGGTGGCTAGCGAGCTTGCGGTTCAACTGATGTTAAGTGATAACCGCCGCCCATTGACATTTGCAACACCCGTAGGGTCGCAGAAATGGGCACCAGCTACCTCACTCACCAAACGAAACGAAAGAATAACACTTCCATTTCACGTCGGAACTTTGTGAGGTCGTGGTACTTACTCGGACGGACCTGCCCATTTGTGCAACAGTGACGACTATTGCGTGGCCCTACCATTGTAAAAATTTCAATCAGTATATTCCATCTAATAATTGGACAATTATTTCCAGCACCCTACATAAAGAAATGCAACTTCAAAGCCGAGGGTTTCACCGAGTGCGTGAAGGAACAAATCGAAAACAGCCTTCGTCCTTTCACAAAAGGGATCCCAGAACTGGGGGTCCCCTCGACGGACCCGGTTATTTTGGAAGACATCAACATCGATGGAAATGGTTTGAAGTTGACTTTCACGGATGCTGCCATGCACGGACTCAGTAACAGCAAACTGACGCAATTAAAGTAAGTGTCTAAGAATTGTCTTATATATATATATAGTACTTCCACAGACTTTACCTGACCCTTGCAACAACTTCGGTTGTTGCCCAAATGGGCAGGTCCGGCCGTGTAAGTACCACGACCACAAAGAAGACTGGCGTAAAGTGGAAGTATTATACTACTACGTTTCGTCTGGTGAATAAGGTAGCCGGAGCCCACTTTATTAAAGGTGGCAACGCATTTGCAACCTCCGGGTGTTGCAAATGTCCATGGGCGGCGGTCAACTTCAGGTGAACCACCAGCTCGCTCACCACATTCTCAAAATAAAATGTCAACCCTGAAACACAAGTTTGATGGTGTGGAGTACAATCAGACTTTTGCTTCAAGGTCAAATGAATCACTTAAAATCAGGTGAACCGCCAGCTCGTTTGCCACTTTCTCACATTGTTCTTATTATACTGAAGTTAAAACCGTCACGTAGAATGTCAAATACATCCCCCTATTATTACTAGATCAGAAGCCTACGCCTATCCGGCTTTCGTTTTTATTTACGTTTGAACAAGCCCCCGTTTTAAGGAAAATCATTTGAAAATATGTGGAATATTTAACATGTTTGAAAATATTCTAAGATTAAAAATTAACTCTTCTTTTTCTTCTTTCACCTGCCCATTACACATCAGGTCTGGTCAACACGTCCTTTCTTTCCACTATACTCTATCAGCCGTCATCTCATTGCTCAACCCTCTCACAGATATATCATTCTTTACACAGTCCATCCTAATATTTCTCTGCCTTCGTCTAACTTTACAACCTCCGGCCACATTCATACTTATCACTTGTAGTCACATGACTTTCGTCCCTTCTCATAACTGGCCCATACCATGTCAACCCACCACTCCTCATTTTCTTGGTCACTGGTGCCATTTTTAAGCTATCCCTAGTATTAGGGACTCATTCCGGATCTTATCCTTTCTTGTCACACCACGCATCCATCTCAACATTCTCATCTCTGCACTTTTCTTTCATTCGTTTCTTTTGCTGCCCAGCACTCAGATCAATAATTCATAATTTTTTGTATATCATACGTTTTTTAAACTACAAAGCGTTAAATCTTAAAATTAACACGTACAATAACTTTATGGCGTATGAAAATTGCTATCAATGTGCTAATAAGATGAATTGACTCACACTATACGTCTGGGAAATTCCGCAATGCATTTAGCGATACGGAATTCAATTACATCGACAACATAAGGGCGACAATTTTATTGTATCATATTGTAACACAATAGCCCGGTGCAAAGGAAAATTATTGTATGCTAATGATTCTATGAACCAAGTCAGGCGAGAGGATGCGACTCGGTTTCCACTAAGTTGACTTTTGTTTGCAGAGTGGACATCGGTCACGAAGAGGAGGAATTCAATTTGGCTTTCAAGGGTAACCTAAGTTTGACCGCAAAATACAATATCGACGGAAAGATCCTTATTCTACCTATTCAGGGGAATGGTGATGCATTGGTTAAAGCCCGTAAGTTTATAAATACCATTCGCGTTTTAATCGAAGAACTTGAATATTCAAAATATGTTATATTTAACTTATTCTTTGATGGAAAAGGATTATAAACAAATTATCCTTATGATGACTCCGTGGCGCAGTTGTCAAAGTATTTTGGCTTTGGCGTCGGGGTTCATGGGTTCGATCCCCACACGGGACAGCTGTTTGTGTGACCCACAGATAGTCGTTTCGTATCTGGGTGTTTTTCCTCGTGCAATTAATGTTTGTAAAACGTTCTTACAACACAGGATAACGTTATCCTTTATCCGTTACTTTAGTAAGGGTACTGTTTTTTTTTTAAAAAGCTCATAGTTATAAATGAAAATCTCTATGCATCCCACGTATTAAGTTGAAATCCCAATTACTATAGTTGAGATTTGAACTTAGTACGTTAGATCGCGTGTCTATCGTAATCAACAGTCTGTGGGCAGTTCACTCTTGGACCAAGTCCCATGACACATCATTTAGCTTGACCTTTGACTGTATGAATCTAGTAACCACCTTGCGTAGACTGTGACTAAATCAGAATGTATGCAGTCCTTGGTAAATAATTTAATGGTAACTTTTCATTGTGTCCACAGAGAACATTGAGGTGAATATCCAAAGCAAATTAGTCCACGTGAAAGACAGCAAGGGACAAAACCACCTGAAACTCGTTACGCCCAACTATAACTACGACATCCAAAGCACAACTTTCGACTTAAAGAACTTGTTTAATGGTAACAAGGAACTAGGTGAGGAGACATTTAATGAACATATTATCATAATCACTATTTTATGATTTGATTCATTTTCAACAGCAGAGCATCTAAAACAGAAATTCATAAAACATTATTGTCATATTTTTATTGCATATTAAAATAAGACATGAAAAATAAGACATTTTTTTACAAAACGTCTAATTTGAATACCATAGGATCCTTTCTTATTAATGTCGATGTCTAAAATATATTTCAGTGCAATCAGATCTTCAAGATAATAAACGGCACTTATTAATTAAATTTATTTTAAATAACGACTGCTTGAAATGTTCTTAAAAAAGAGATCCTGCTATAAAAAATATAAGCTTTTCACACAAGTGTTATTTGGCTTTTTTAAACTCTCATTGAAGTGACACTTAGAAAATTATCAAACAGGTTGTAGACGGAACAAAACGTCAGCTGATTTTTTTTAAATGAAACACATTTCGTTTTATCTCGACGTTTGGCTGGATATATAAATAAAACAAATGGATTAAAAAGAAAACTTACCAATCTAGTTCACGGATCGGATTAATAATGTTCTAAATTTGCAAACACACTTGCCCCTCCGAAGAGATAATCTCTTGTTGCCACTTGCAATGATCCATTTCTACCTCTCTTGCCTCTTCCATATATTTCCATACATTTCTTCGTCTTTTCCAGTTCTTTTAAAGCCAACTCCTCTTTAGTATATTACCAATTTGTTCGATAACAGTACCTCTACCCCGAGCGGTTACCCAAGTTTATTTGTATTCTTCTCCGGAATATTTCCATCAAGGATGAACCAAGTTATCTCGTTTTGTGACTGTTTCTGCATATGTCCGAATTATCATTATTAGACGCTCTCGCGCTGGCTTTAGTTTGTCGTAATAAATCAAATATGTTTACCCGGACGTATCCTAACATCTACTAAATAAGTTGGATCGCCTCCTTAATAACTGTATCAAGTTCATTTTCGGCTTACGCATGTATACATCCATATATCCTCCTATCAATCTCAACTTAATTGGCTTACTATTCGGCAAAGGCGGCAGTACAGAATTTTCCTTGTGCTTTTCTCCATTTTAAATGATTGTTCCTCCCCCTCTTAAACAAATTCTTGTATCTCTCCTCATCTCATGATAGGGTACTTTGGTCGTCTTACAGGAATAAATTATGCATTCCAGCGCACTTTACCGGGTTCTCTGTCAACTCCTTTACTATCCAAGCTTTACATCTTTGGAACTCCTTGCCCGATAACGTAAGAAACGCAAAAAGTAAGACATCTTTCAAAATACTGGTTCATGAACACCTGTTAAAGATAAATTCGACCTAAGATGTGGAATGTAGTTAAAAGTAGAAGCTAATTGTTATTTATTTATACAAGTATACATCTTTATATATATTTAAATGTTTGAATATATATAATTATCCAAATATATAATTTATACATATATAATTACAATAAATATATATAAATATACATATATATAATTTAATATTTGATTTGTATCCAATTATAATATTATTTCCATATATATTCTCTTTAATTAAAATTTTATTATTCTTGCATCTTTTGCTGCACCTACCATAAACTCTCACCACATCCTGGGGTGACTGGTAGAGAATACCTTTGGGCATTAAGTCCGCCTTTTGTTACCTTGTTTTACTGAAGGTTGGCAATAAAGATTAAATAAATGTTTTATTTACAGCTGAAACAACTCTTACTTTCGCCAACCAAAACTGGAGACAGCTGATGGATGATTTGGCGCCGCCCGTAGTGAAGCAAATCGTTCGTACAGTCGTCAAGGCAATAAACAAGTTCTTGGGCAAAGTACCAATTCATGAGATGATCGATGGTTATAATTAATATTGCCTCTAAACAAACACATGTCATTAGTGACAATCAATTTACATATCAATTTTTATTATGTAACAAAATCATTAGAGATTACGTCATCAAGATTAAATGGTAGAATATTTTCTCAGAAAAGGCAGATTTTCAACATCAATTTAAATTATAGTATGAATTAAGTTATACCTTATCGATTAAATATACTTATGTATTATAATGACTTAAGCACATGGGAGCCTAAGTGAGAATGTATTTCTCTGCACATAAGCCTGTGATATTCGTTTTAAATAAAATTATCCCGCTAAATGATTAAGCATTCCACTTTTTATACTTGTTACATAACAGACTGCTCGATTTGTAAGTTATTTGAGTAAAATTAATCATTTCACAAATAAATGACTGTCATGAAATAAAAATCTACAACAATAAGTCTTGTTTGATTTGAAGTCCGTAATATTAATTAAAATGGAATTAGTTTTATGTTTAAAGAACTTTATTTTCATAAAAACAGAGATCTTTGTCTATTAGATCTCCTTTATTCCCAATGTTGACGAGCGGTGAATTTATCGCCGTACACTGAACACAGAGGTAAGGCAGTGATTTTTGCACGTAAGGTAAAGCCCGAAAATCGGATAACACTTTTGTCAAAAGAATTTGAATTTGTTCCCGCGCATTTAAGACGATCTAACATCTTAGAAGAAGAGGAAGACGGTCTAACATTCATTCATTCAATTCATTATTATCGCATAAGGCTTTTAGTATTTGCAGCGTTGATGACTGAGTGGCGCTGTTGCTAAACTATTGGCTTCGACACCGGGGATAAGGGTTCGATTCTCACACGGGACAAGATTTGTAATACGCACAGATATTTGTTCCGTTTCTGGGTTGTTCATTTAAATATCCTCAGGGCCGAAACGTCAATCATCAAAAGGCTAGCAAGCACAAATAGGACATGCCGCGACGAGCTAGTAGTAAATCACACAATGATACTATACACAACTCGTAGATATGACACCAGCGCACAAAAAATGGGGCGCTCAAATTACGCCAATTAGTGTAAAATCAAAATCAAAAATATATTTATTCAAATAGACGCTTGCGCGCTCTTATGAAACGTCAAATTTTAGATAAAAATTATGTATATATGTTTAGATTGCAATTCTATAGACTGCTACCTCTTTCCGTATCGTACGTTCTATATCATCTGTCACATTCACTTATATATGTCATATAATGTAAAGCGTAACACAAAACGCCGCGAAGTATGGACATGGGTCATTTATATTATTGAACGTCTTTGTAAACCACATAAGTAGAGTAGCACAGTAATAAAACCACAAAAGCACAGTTAAAATAATGGCGGGGGAAAAGGGAGATCGAGCCCCTAGGACGAGGCATTTCATCAATAACAAAACAAGGCAATTTGTAGCATATCTCAATTTATTGGCTGTCCAACGAACTACTATCACTCGAAACGCGTGCAGCCATAGGGAAAGCGTTTTCGGACGTTGTCGCAGTAGACCTTCGCCAGGGCAACGCGAAACCGAAACGTCGGTACCACAGCACGCCAACCAAAGCCACAAGGAGAACGGCTAACCCGACCGACATACCGACTATCCCAGCGGTGGAAAGTTGCGTCGCTGAACCTGGAACGAGGCGAATTGAAGCTAATTACATCTTTACAATGTTACGTACAACAAGGGTCGTTGCAAAATATAATGTAATTATGCCTTTGTCGCAATTACGCCAATTCAATTGACGCCGTGACAGGTGAAGGGTCAGAGAGTTGAAAATTGATAGCAAAACAAAGAATGTATAGAAAAGAAACGAAGACAGAGACGCCATCGTTATTTTAATATCCTAATTGGTTGAAATTAAAAATAAAATTCTTTGCATACTCCACCTATTACAAGGCTCATATAAATATAAAATGTACATATACTTTTTTTCAGTGCTGCTCCGATCACAGAAAATAAGAAAACATAATCAAGTCTATCGTAATAAAACAGATCTCTAGCAGGCATAAAATTAATTTCATTCTTAGATTCGTAGACTAAATTATTGGATAAAAACAAATTTTAATATTTAATAACCTTTATATTATTACATGGTTCAAAACAAATATAATATAGAATGGATTTAGAAAAATAGATTTAAATCGACAACTAAAATATACAACCAGTTGTTGATATCACCAGTTGTCAAGCCGATTGTAACACGTTACAATAACAAACAATAAAAATGCCATCAATTAATCTGTTGCGGTTGAACCGGCTGCATGTAGGATCAATTGTGAGCAGAAAAAGGAACTGTTGTAATATTTACAATCGCAAATAATAATATGCAGACTGGACCTTGAAGTGTATTGTCGCAATAAAATGTAAAAACTGCAATGCAAAATTATGTGCACTCCTGATAAAGTGTCGTGCATGCTAGAGCTTAGTGATTCAAGTATTTTAGAGATATTAAGACTATTACTGCTATTTGCGCGTGATTTTTGAACTAGTAAATTGTATGAATTAAAAGCAATCTGGTCAATTATTATATATCATTAAAACATAATGATGTTTATTTAAGGGACAATATTAAATACAAAGAATCTTTTTATTTCGATGGCCATATTATCATTTTATCTATCTCTCAAACTCACCTTTACAAACCACTTGTAAAATACCAAATACCATCGAATGAGTATAGACCCATTTCCTTTCTCAGCCATCGTCACAGTAGCCATTATAAAATAAATATAGCTTTCTGTGTTGATGCGGCTTTTTTACTACATAGTGATTCAAGATAAAGGTTTATATCCTTACTAAAATTATAAACGGGAAAGTTTGTATGTATGGATGGATGTTTGTTACACTTTCACGCAAATACTACTGAATCGATTCTAATGAAACTTTACAAAATTATAGCTTGTACATCAGAATAGGACATAGGCTTTAATTTATATACATATTTTATGTATATCTGTCTTCTAGCTTCTACGCAGACGTAGTTGCGGGTAGCAGCTAGTGTATAATACATAGCACCCGTGCGAAGCCGGAGCGGGTCGCTAGTATCACATTATAAAAAAGTTTTGAACGCACCGTCTATATACAGACGGATATGGTCCCGCGCCTCTAATGCCTCCTGATTGATCAGAGCGGCGCACGACCAAACGCCGATATCCTCTTCCAAGACGGGATTAATGGTCAGCGAACATTCGCCATGGTCCAAACTTTGCCCCGGTGTGAAGTAGTATCGGTTCAATATCGCACTGAAATAAATACCTTATTATACGTTGCAAACACTACACACTCTAATTGACATAAGTAGTACCTGGAGGTTTTTCTTTTGTAATTCATGTATTTTGGAAATAAAAAAAATAAAAAATAAAGAAAGCAATGAATGTATAGAAAAAAAGTAAAAAAAAATAAGTGTGTAAATGATCGTGATACGAACCGCGGCCGTCTGTTTTGAGGCCGCTCGATTACCGACCGAGCTGTTATAACATATTTTTTTGCGGCGAAATTTACCGTCATATTCGAATGATATTTTTCATTCCCTGAAAACAGGGATAAAAGGACATTTTCTAAAAATGAAACCTAGCTAGATAGATTTTTCGTCCCCGAATCTACGCACATACTAAATTTCATGCATGAAAATCGCTGGAGCCGTTTCCGAGATTCCTATTATATATATACAAGAATTGCTCGTTTAAAGGATAAGATATAGTAGCTTATTCCCACGACTCTCGTCTCCGTGTATCGTGTAAGGGAATTAAAATGAAAACATAAGTCATATACTCATTACAAATATAAACATACATATCCTATTTTAAGTTGAAATTATTTTAAATCTTAAAATTTTTATCGAAATCTTTTGAGCGGTTTCATAGCATTTATGATTGAGCATCGTATAAATAGCATATTCCACTAAAATGTTACCATTAATATTGATATCAAAGATATATAACCTTAAATACGCGTACTTTATCGTGTTTTAGTGAGGGATATTAGATTGCAATTTTATAGCTCCGTTTGTTCTACATCATCTGTCACATTCACTTATACATATAAGGAGATATTCAATTATACACATGTCATATAATATAAAGAGGAAAAACATTTTTAACGTCAGGTAGTATGGACATGCTCCATCTATCTCATTGAACATCATTGGAGACGAGCCGCAAAATCGCACAGCAAACACTAACTACTTCTATGAATTTAATTATTTGAAATACCTATCCGCCGTAACGGACTCGTCGACCCGCAGCCCGAGCATTCTCGGTGACAGGAATCTGCAGTAGTCCAACGGTCGGTTCCCGTTTGCGGTGTGACAGTTCAACGTAGCCAGGCCCCCGATGCCCGTCCCGACCTCCTTTTCAACGGCGGCGAGGGGACCAGTTACTCTTAACAGTATCGAGTCAGTTATCTCGACCCCCAGTTGATCCCTGGGGCCCATGTGGCAGATCCATCTGCCGGCGTCGTCCGAGGTCACGTGCGAAAATGTGATCCCACAATCGCCTATTTGCAGACTCTCCCCCGTATACCTTTCAAGAATGTTGAATATTTGAACAGATAGAAAAAGACAATTTTCAATACTTATATTATACGCTGCGGCTGTTGAAATATATCTGTTTACGAATCATATTTAAAACAATAATTTCATATGATGTAGGTGAATATTAAGATAATAAACGTAAATAATAGGTAAGAGGTGGAAGGCGAATTCTTTAACGCAAATAAGTACAGAGGAAGTTAATTTTTATATTCTTCCGCTGTAAAAAAAATTAATAAATTGGCCCTTACGAAGAAAACACTGAAGTCCATTAGAGCAGAAATTTCATAATTATATTGTATTTAGTATTCTGTGGTAGGGCGACGCAGCAACCTCGGTTGTTGCACGAAAGGGCAGGCTCCTCCGGGTAAGTACCACGAACTCACAGAAGACCGGCGTAAAGTGGAAGTATGACAAATACGTTCGCGTTTCTATATGCGAAAGTATTTGTCATACTTTCGCATATAGAACTAGTTTCTATACACCTATGCTGGTGAGTGAGGTAGCCGGAGCCCAATTTTCCAAAGGCTGTCAACACATCTGCAACCCTCTGGAGTAGCAGATGTCCATGGGCGGCGGTATTCACTTAACATCAGGTGAACCGCCTGCTCGCTTTTTACGTAAAATAAATATAAATTTTGTTTGAGTAAATGATAAATTACTATGTTATCAGTTGTTTATATCACGAATATAATTATATCACGATCGTGTTATGAACTTAAATCTAATATATCAATTAAGGATAATTTATATTCCGATAAAGACTTAAACCTGAAATTTAATAAATAAGATTTTTCTTTTTTAAACATTGCCCTTACTTTAAGATAACGTTATCCTGTGTTGTAAGGACGTTTTACAAACATAAATTTCACGTGGACCCAGATGCGAAACAACTATTTGTGGGTCACAACGGGGGCCACGGAGTCATCGAATTAAGATTCAAGTAACAATTAATTGCATAATTCAATATCGTTCAATAAAGGATATGGTCTTTTTTATTCAGTCACTTTCAATATGGTCAGTGTTGTTAGATTAAAATAATGACATAAAGATAAAAAAAGTTCAAATGCAGATAGCTTACACTCCGAGAACTCTTAACATATGATGTCCCGTGAAAATTGACCGCTGGCCACCTCGCTAGATGCCTTTGCGCTCTGTGTGAATTCGACCACCACTCCAAACAAAAAGCATGCTTAACTACGCTTACCAAAACGTCTGCTCTTCATTGACTTGCTGACCGGGCGTGTATTGAGTGCCATTCGGGTGCTGGAACCAGCAGTACGCTAGGGATACCCCCGCGCGGCAAGTCAACGTGAAAGGCATCTCCGCTTGAACAAATACCGTACGAATATTCTGCTCAGCGATCATTAAATCGCGAACGACCCTCGAATCTGTAAAAATGATTTACACTTAAATAATTCAGAACTTTCTGTTTCATCTGATGAATCAGGGTACCGTAGATGAACTCTATCAAATGCTATCAACGCAAGCACCTGCAAGCACCTTGGTTAGCACTCGCTTTGTTCCTTGTCCTAATCCCACCTAGGTGGGTGGGTACAGCGTATGAACCATATTTTAATGGTATTGTCATTTTTGGCTCGAATAGGTAAACTCGTCCGGAGAACTACCTCGGCAGAATCACAGAAGACCAGCGTGAAATGACTGTATTATACTTTCGCATTTCTACTGGTGAGTGAGGGAACCCGAGCCCACTTTTAAATAGGTTGGCAATGAATCTATAATCCACCAGGTGTTGTAGATCTCCATGGGCGGCGATAGTCACTTAGCATCAGGTGAACCGCCCGCTCGCTTGTCAACTTTTTACATAAAAGTAAAACAGTCTGTGGTTGATTACCAAAAGCTCATTGTCAAATTCCTTTTACCTCCGGTCATATCACGAGCAAAAGCATCAATTATATTTTTAATCACAATTTTATCTGCTGATTGGCCTCGTGCATAGCGGTGACGGTAACGTAACACAGGCGTATCAAAGTCATAATTAAAAAAAATATTTCGATATTTATATTAAGTCCGCCAATATGTGACAAGGTCGCGTGACGGACTATGCCGCTCTGTATGTTATGTTCTATATTTTAATGAATTTACAAAATAAACCTAAGCCTTCCTTTGACTTTATCTAAGGATTTCACTCTCAAATCGTAGAAGTAAGCTAAAAGTTTCTACATCATGAGTGGCACAAAAATAGAAACTTTTCATGCTTGTTCAGGTCTATTTTGGGCCCATTCATTCTCATAAGAAAGTATGTATATCAAAAGGTCCTAAAAACTTATTTAAAAATAACCTTATGAACTTAACTGCCAATCCATAGAGGCTTTTAATAAAGGCATTCAACAAGTGCCTCTTATCAATTTTATAATTTAATATTTTGCCATGACTTTGGCCCAAACAATATTTCTATATATATAACATCTTGTATTTTGTATTAACTGATGTTTTTGCTTTCAGTCCCGAGACTATTAAAGCTTCATCGGACGCAGCTTCATCGGACGCATATATATAACATATATTTATATAAAGAGATCTTTGTCTTGCAATTTCGGAAATATTGGTAATTTCTTTAAACGTGTGACATTTTGAATACATTTTTTAAATGATATCTAAGTGTGCACTAAAGGTTTAATCACAAACTCCCATCCATCACAATTAAAGGTCCCGTATTTTCCTTCAATTTTTGCTTTTTGCAACTTGAAAATGTCATTCATAAAAAAAGTGAAACATTTGTCGCTAAATGCAAGCCTCGCCCACCGGAGATAATATCAAAAAGCGTAGACTTATGAGTATTCACTACAACAAAAAACTATCTATTCCCTAATAAAGAAGCGAACAATTTGGGCAGTGAATCTGAGATACTATAGCACGCAATTTGTAAATGAGAACCACATGCGATATCTTATCGAATGCTTTGCTTAAATTCGTATAGATTACATGTGCCCGATATCCCGAGTCAATCATTTCAGGCATGATATGATATGACTTAATAAATCCATGTCGATAATTAGTTAAGTATAACTTTTAATGACTTTGAATATAGCGACAATATTAAAACCTCAAAAGTAAAAAAAAAGCACGAAAAAATGAAATACTATAGTTATAATTATCATATTTAGACTTGTAAATTAGTATACTTGGGTTATTGTCTACTCACTAAATGGACGAAAAGTAAGTTAAAAATATTTCGCATATCTCCGTGCCATCCGAGGCCAAATTTTAAGATTTATTAACTGGCGACAAGTGCTGTGATATAAGAATTGAAGATTCGTTGTTAGTAATTCGCAAATGTGTACTTCTCAGTTTAATTATATATTCCGACGACTGCGCCCACCCGTCTAATCAGGTTTTCCTTTTTTTTCAGTCCTGCACTGTATATACGCCTTGTCTGATTGCGCCAATATTAAAATCTCCAAATAACTTAAACGTTGGCTGAAGTAATCGATTGTTCCAAAATTTTTAATTTTATTGTTACCTATATAGATTCTATTATTTAAAAACTTTTATTTATTAATAACATCGAATCGTTAATATCCTTTTTAATGAATGTAGTTCCTTGTGAATTGTATCTATCATACAATTTTTTAGTTGAGTATAAAGAACTAAACTCTTCTATTATTACATCTTGCTAAATAGTACTTCTTCAGCGTTTAGTTTTAGGTGAGTTTAAAGCGATAAAATATGTAATGATATGATTTGTTACAGAATGTACAACTGATATATTTCTCATTTTCTTTTATGTTTTTATAATTACTTCGTGAACTTCGGAAGTTAAAGAGTGTAACGCAAGTGTACGTAATACGTTCACAGAGGTTTTTGCTTCACTCGTGTTTTTTCCCGAATAAATGAGTCGAAATAGACGCAGCTGATGAAAATCGTAATGTCACTAATCTTCCCAATCATATGGCGATCAATTTCAGATATTGTCTCAAAGTACAGTATAGAGATAACGCCCGCCATTGAGAAATCGTCCAAAAAATATATTTAATCAGTTACCCATTACCGACATATTTGTACATACACATTAATCTGCGTCTAAATTAAGTTATAATAAAAATATATGTTTAGTAGAAATGAAGATATATTTTTCACAACGTTCTCTCGTCCCAATTAAGCATCAAATACCCAGGCACTGGAAATGCACCATGATTACGATAAAATACTCGTAGTTTTCAAGGAGTGGTAGTGAACCACTAGGCTAATCGGGTCATTAAAATATCTGAGTGCACTGAACACATTTCCAGCTACCTTCAATCACCTATTTTCTCACGAGGTTAGCTGGCAGAGAACTCACATATCGAGTTAAGTTACATTACATGTTACTTACCTTTTGTACATTATTTTCATTTTCATTATTTTTTTTTGTATCCGGTGTTTTGTGTACAATAAATATATAAATAAATAAAAACTAGTAGAAGTAATAGGATGAGATATAGCTTACTTTGTGTGTTTTGCGCAACACTTATAAGCGCTTGCATGGGTGTTTGAGGTACAATATGCGTACCAACCCACATTTGGAGACCCAAGGAACACCGCCATGTGCCAAAATCTTGGGCCACCGGATTCTCTATGGTCATGCCACATTGTTTTTGGTCGAACCCTCCTCCATAATAGCTACGGAAACAAATAAATAAATAAATCCTTTGTTCAACCTGGACCCTGGGCCTTCATTAAGTATTTCTGATATGTTAGTTGACGCTGCATCATCGTATGTTGTACGTTATTAAAAGAATCTAACTTTATAAAAGAAATAAAATTTTCGTTAATATTTATGATCTCATAGATGTCATATTAGTGATTATTTTTATTTCCTTTCCATGATTTATGTATTAATACTACTTACTCGTATTTATCAGAATTAATAATTGTTAGTATTTCTCTTAATAACTATGTCAGCATGACTTTAACTCTTCCATCATCACCTGTGCCTACCATCGCTGAGTCCGTCCATGACGTTGTAGCCGAAAGAATCCGTCGTTTTCTGGAAGCGACAGAACGTTATGTTCTTCGAGGTGTGCACGATGTTGCAATATAAATTCAGCTTGTTTTCAGTTCTGTCGTATATATAACCAACGTCCAGACGTTCCGCTGAAATGTTAGCCATTTGTCTGTTACATGAATGCCGCTGAATTTCAGTGAGTGAAATATCTCTGCTGATGTGTGAAACGCTCTAAACCTCTTGTCAAGATGTTTCTAATGATATAATTGAGACAGTCATTTAGAGACATATCGAAGACAGATTCTGACATATCGAAACTCAGCATAGCGGGTAAGTTGCTATTTAAAATGAATACTTACATTCGACGGAGATCAGTCTTTGTATGTTCAACTCCGCCACATGACCTGGTAGACCCAAAATGACATTCCAATTGCCCTGGATGGCCCGTGTGGTGCGGTCGAGAGTGACGCTACATTGTCCCGGCACCAGTGAACTCTCCGCGAAGGGCTTCGACACCAGGCAATAGGAGTTTTCCAAGGTCGTCAACTCTACTTCCATCTCTGTCTGGCCATCCTTAAGTGATATCGGTGGAGCACTATAGGATGTCGTCGATTCTGGAAATAAATTGATACTGTTGCACTTGTCTGATCACTAATCAAAATGATTCCCTGTTCTTACGTAAACTCTACGCATTGTTAAATAATAAAATATATACAAATATAGGACACATTTTTACACAACGTTCACTAGTTCCAAACTAAGCAACGCTTGTTCTATGGGTACTAGATAACTGTTAAACATACCTTAACATACTTTTCTTTTGTAAATAAACACATAATATAAATGTATAAACACCCAGACACTGGAAAAACACCATGTTCATCACACAATATTTTTCCACTAGTGAGGATCGAACCCACACCCTCTGGCGCAGGAGGCAGGTGCACTACCCACTACACAAATCGGGTCGTCAAAATGATAATATTTTTAAGAACGATAAAAGAATTATGATGTATGCCAAAATAGATACGCGAGACAGTTTTCGCGGGAGATTTGGAGACCGTGTTATTTACTCGGACAAACCGGTCCATTCTAAAACAGTAAAAGCAGATGTTTAGCTCTACAGTACAAACTTAAAATTGACGCTAAACAGTTCTTCACAAATGTTAGGAAGTGTTCGAAATTACGGGAATTTCGCCATTTCCAAACTGATAGAAACGTCCACCATATAAAATTAAATTAAACGTAATGAATCTGTACATCAGTTTCATTTCACAACGGGCAGTACTGGAAGGACCGTATATTTTTGACAAAACCTTCCATAATCATAATAAATCCGTATCTAGGTTCCCGCCTTTATTGCAGTATGCTTGAAACGAAAGGACAAAAAGGACAAGGATATTAGTCTACCCGCCAGTCTACTGCAGTGAGACTTCTATGTTTAGGCTGTTAATTTTGTGTCCTCTTTTCCCCAAGACTGGTTTCCCCTAGAGGATGGATAATAGTTAACTGATCAGTTTATATTAGAGAAAACTAAACACATATTAACAAATACGATGCTTTTTCAGTAAATTTGATTATTGGTTTCGATATGATAGGGTGGATATTAAGATCGGTCCGATATATCGATAATAATATACATAATTATTATACTTGCAGAGATAATGTATCGAAGAGAAACAATGTTGTTCACCTGCGTTGAAGGTAATACCATTGCAATAGAAGCAAAACAAGCAAATAATAATTATGACATAAATTATTCGTTATGCACGGCTGAAAATAAAACCTTTACAAGTAAGTATTACCCGTGTTATGTTTAAAACATTGTATTTAGAATTATAAGGTAAGATAAACTATTAACACTATGTTACAAGAAAGGGGAGGCTTGACTTAGACAGGTACCGCGGCCATAAAGCGGATAGGTTCTTTAGGTATATGTTACGTTTTAAAGAAGCCCACAAGGCTAGACGACGGTACCAAGGCCTGCGTCAACACGCTACATACATCATACTTCTTTCCTGTGCCACAACGCGACAAAGAATCGCACATGGCCATATTTAGAAAAATATGTGTTGTCTGAAACTGTAAAAAATAGTCATCAAATGACTGGTAAACTGAAACTATTTTCGTTGTTGAAATGTAAATATATTACCTTCGACATACAACTCTGTCCATCCAGTTATAGTCTTATTGGCGCGAACAGCAGAAAGTCGCCACCTGCCCTCGTCATCCATAACTACGTTTCGTACCCTCACTCCACAACCAGCACTCCAACTTGCATATCTGTTGGGATGAGAAGTTATAATAGCTCGGTCGGTAATCGGGCGGCCCCAAAACAGACGGCCGCGGTTCCTATTACGATCATTTACATACTTATTTTTTTTTCCTTTATTTGTATACCAGATAATTTTCTTTATTTTTTTTTAATTTCCAAAATACATGATTTACCAAAAAAACCTGGTCCTCCAGGTACTTATATTTATTCACAAAGACGCTTGCGCGTACTTATGAAATGTCAAAATTTTACATAAAAATTAATACGTTCGTACGTACAATGGTTACCATTTGTTCGTAATTTGTTGCACACTACAGAATACTTATGTTATCGATTAATATCGTTTTTTATTAATATAGTCGTCAGTTCTTGAAAATGTTAGATGAGAGAGAAAAAAAACTATTTTAATACTAATGTAGTAATGCAGCTGACACCTAATGATAAATCGATAAGAATTAGTGCTAACACTTATAACATATACCGTTACAACTATTATTTGATATAATCTCTTAATTACAATTTTAGTATAAGGAGTCTGTCGAGGGCAACTGGATCGTTCTTTCAATGTCAAGGTTGAAAAAAACATATAACAAGTCAATGATCTTATAAACAAATACTAGCTATATGACAACAACACTAGCACAACGAAACTGTGTCTCAGTCAAATTACGCCACTTGGTGTAATTAGATTTCAACTCTATAGTCTGTTATCTCTTTCCTTATTAAACGGTTTTATTTAGCTCGACCCCTACGGAATTATTTAATTTATTTGGGTCAAAATTAGAAATTGAAATTTAAGCACCTTCCCGTTGTCAGATTGATCTGAAATTTGGTACACATATTTAATTTAGATGACAATACAATATTGTAGTTTTCAGTGCACATAAAATAAAACCGTTTAACTTAAAAGTTTTTAAACGGTTTTATTAAACGTTCCATATCATATGTCACATTCACATATATGTCATATAATGTAAAGTGGAACAATTTTTAAACTCCGCGCAGTATGAACATGCGTCATCTTTATTAATACATCTTTGTTACTAGTCATGAGATTGACTAGTAAAGTGATTTTGGAACTGTGAGCCTAGACATGCATGCATGAATCCGATTTTTGTTACCTGCACAACGGACAAAACAATAGTTTAATATGTTTTACTTGAAAAAATAGATTAAAATGGTATATTTTTAGAAGTAATACCAGCAATATAAATGAGACAAAAAGGAAAGGGGGAAACGAGGAAATTAAAGTCTGCTATTATTCATATTAATAAATTAATATAGAAATTTATCAACTGAGTTTAGATGTTCGAAAAGATGAATGAGATATTTTGGCAATACAAAAAATGCATGCTCCAGTGGCAAAGTGAGTTGATTTTGTATATTCAGTTTGGCTAAAAAACTGGGTAGCAAACTAAATAAAATATGTTTCACTCTCAACCTAAATAAGATGTGATGATAATTCAGTTAAAGCCCAATAAATTTTCCCGATTAAACATTTGCAGAAATAGGTTAAATTACCTTTCATGTATTTTACTGCAGGATACTGCTACTGACAGAATCATCACCTATAAAAAAATAATGTTCTAAGGAGCATTTAAAGCTAAAAATGATGAAGGTCTTTTTTGGACATAAAGATTTAAAATAGCTGCAGTATATAATTAATATGCAGTAGAAACAGAATAGAAAACAGTACGCAGCCTTGTGGGACACCGGCATTCAACGGTTTGGCATCAGATCTTGCACCGTGAATAACAACCTTGATGCTCCTCTCCGTGAGGAAACTGGTGATCCAATTGCATAGTATCTCGGGAACTCCATGATCTCGGAAAGAAGTACTCCGTGCTAAACCCGATCCAAAGCTACCGATGTTACGTCCAAACTAACCACCAATGCCTCCCGCTTAGTCTCAACTTCCTCCACTTATGTGGCTGACAAACATATTCAGGGCCGGTTTGTATACTTAGGACCAACTAACAAATTATCATTTAATAACTTATCGCACATGAAGCGTCATTAACGACTTACTTTTTTCGGTGTCTTAATGTCTCCTAAAACTGCGTTATGGGGAATAAAAATACTATGCGTGTTGCTTTTCGATATATTATACAAATACAAAGATATTAAGTCTATGTGATTGAAAGATAGATAATCAATAATTAACTTTTCCTATCTTTTTTTATAATACAGGATTGCGATAAAATTTCGATTCGAAAGATTTCAATCTATTAATTGATATGCTCAGTGAGTCAAATACTTCCGTATTATCAGTATTTAGTAGAAGACCTACAATATAATTACCGTCCCCATCCCTTTCACTTCATTTGGCGAAAATACTTCACATTTATTTTCACGAGGGCTTGGACTATTTTTTATGTGACAACGCGGCAAACGAGCTAGCGGTTCACCTGATGTTAAGCATTAACCACCGTCCATTGACATCTGCAACACCCGTATGGTTGAAGATACCTTGCCACCTTTTAATGTAGTGGGCACTGGCTACCTCACTTAGCAGAGGAAGTGCAGAAGTAAAACATTTCCGCTTCACGCCGGTCTTCTGTGAGGCATGGCTACTTCACCAGACAGACCTACCAATTCGTTCAACAGTGAAGGTTGCTGCGTGACTCTTCTAAAGTCAAACATATTTTACACAGTCGGTACACTCGGAATCTCACCAGTAAGAGAAGATCCAGTGGCGATAAAAAATGTTTAACTTGATGGTTTTCTCAAACGCTGCAAGGAGCAAGCCCACAATAAAATCCGTGGACACAGTTAAGATGTTTGAGGAATACAAAAATAAAGAAGGGAGACACAGTTTTTTGTTGTCTAAGCTAACGGGGTCTTCAACAAGAACTGTGTTTACCAACGTATTAGCATAACATGAAAGTTTTGACTTTTTACTTACTGACAGTAGTAGAAGCTTTATAAATTACTGGTGAGTTCAATTTCACTCGAAAATCGCACAAACATATTAAAATAAAAACTATCACAGTTGGTTTGACTTTGAAACTTACAAGGTGCAGTGTTTTTTTTTTGCCTTAGTGGGTGCAGCTGGCACATAAATTGAAGCCGGCTGACCATTCACTTCGCCGTAGATTTCGCTGAATTCATTCAAGAACAACCCGTTGTAATTCTGGACTAATCATTTTTTTTAGACAAAGTCCATTTTCATTTTTCTGGATTTGTCAACAAGCTAAATTGTTGCATTTTGGCTTCTGAAAATCTAAAACTAATTGTGGAGAAGTGTGAACGTCATTGGAGTATTTTGTTTTCTCGAAAATCGATTGAAAATATGGTTACGTGATTAATCCATTCAGCAAAGAAATGATAACTACTAAATTTTGTCCTATTATTAATGTTATGGATATCTCTGATATGTGGTTTTACTAAGACGGTAGCACTTGTCACACGGCCAGCAAAATAATGAATATATTGCAAACCCAATTTCCCGATCGCATAATCGGCACCCTACATCGGATGCAACTGCGATGAGACCACACATCACCCCCGCCGCGATAAAAGACAACAACATATCTTTGACCTTGTCACGCACGCAACATAAGTTTTCACCAGATATCGACATTCCTGCCACTCTCGATGTTGATAATTTAATTAACAATCGGAACTGTTAACAATCAGATAATGATAGTATCTCCAATTTTGCAGTATAATATGTTTGAGGAAAATTTAAACAAACAATTACCAATTAATCTCATAAAATATGTAAGTCATGGCTGCTATTTCAAATAATATGTTAAAGAATGGCAAGACAATATCGTACGACGTCCTTCGAGGCCGCCACAATTCTTGCACGGTTTCCACCACTGGACATTCTTGTCCGATTTTTTACTACTCTCCAGCCCCTTAGGGTAGTGCCGAGCCCGTGGATGCGAAAGCAGTAGCGTAAACATGGAGGTGTAGCGCAATCGGCTAGTAGAACCACGTTAATATTATTTTGCGATCTGTACCAACTTCTTGGCGGGGCTGGGCTCATGTCACGGTAGTGGAATATCGTAATGGACGCCCCGTTACATAAAATAGGTAACGACAGAAATAATAGTGCCCAGCGTCGGGAACCAAGTTAACAGCGCCGTGTCGGTTGAAGACAGGACGGATAGCCTTCACAATCTCTAGGTCAGTGCTGATGTGCTGCATGCAATCTCTATAGAGCAGTCTGCTCCCGTTCTGCGATGGCGTTTGAGAGGAGTTCCCCTCAAATTTCAGGGAGCGGCGTTTTGGACCCATACTTTTTGTTATCTCATTCAAAATCTAGGTCCGGGGCCAGTCGGTTCCCGAGGTCGGATCCGGTTTTGTTCTATATGATATCAATTTGAGGGACGCCTCATTTATTAACTTTACATTTGCTATTTTCAAGACAATCCAGAAGGGTCGAAGCCTCGTGATAACGACGACATATCTCGAGCCATTGGATATCATTATACGCTTATAAGTCAAATGAAATTTCAATATCTAATGCCCATACTTATTAGACTCATCAGAATCTTTGTCTGATCATTCCTTTAATAGCATAGGACATTTGCATGAGAACATAAATAAAAGTAACGAGTAAAAACCATAGTAAATAAGCAAACAATAATACCAATATTTATCATTTGTTTTAGCACTGTAAAATGTATATTCAGCCATTAACACTAAGTTCTTGTTAAATAGTAAATGATTAATTAATAATTTTACATTCTAGATTTCAATTGGTATTGTAATTATTAGATGCCACAAATTTTTTGCAACTAAAAGAAATTGAAAGGCGAAGTTTTTGTTTTCATGTAAAAATTACTAACCCGTGAACACTTAACCGTCCTTGGTATTAGATATGTTATAGTCATAGATAGTAGATATAAATGTAACACTTGCCTTTTTAATAAATTATTTAGTTCTTATTAAAGGACATAATTATTTATCTTTTTCAAAATTTGAAATGAGCATACGAAAGAATTACCCACTTAAACAAGTGTTTTGAAATGATAAATATATTTAAAGTTGGCAAACGTTTGTTTCCATGTTTCGATTATTTAAACGAGAGTAACATTTCACCTGTTGCTGGGCGGTGACTGTACGTTGAAAGTTAGACCGGACGGAGTGGTCACCACACATGATAGTTTGTCCGTGGAATTGGCATCCAGCCGTAGAAGCGCCACGTTCCCTTCGGCCACTCGAAGAGTGTGCGGCCAACCCAGGCCATGCTGCATTTTCAAAAGATTCTTCACCTTAACGTGCACTACGTTTACACTCCGCACAGTTTGCATAAGGGATATCGTCACTAAAACATTAACACAACTACAACTTAGGGTAAACAAAACCGTTAATACCGTAAAAAATTACAGTAAATCATACGAAAATAATAAAGTGGTAACACAACTAAAATTAGAGTAAATCATACGAAAAATAATAAAATGATAACATTCAACAGTGCTAAACTCGTTTTCTGTAATGCTTATCCTGGAATTACCTTTATTTTTAAAGCCTTGAACAAAAGTATTGAGTACCCTAAGAATATGCGCAAAAGTATTGCAGAAAACGAACTTTTTGTTTTAATGGTAAGAGTAGGTACTTAATGTTTAAGAATGACTAGCCAATCGCTTACATCAGAACTATTTTAAGATTTTCTTAATGTTTAGTGCAAATCGACTGATATAGGTTTTCATGCATATTTGTGATATATATGAAAACCTAAACTCGCAGCACAGTAACAGCGCAGTTACATCTGCAAGGACAGCGATTCTTAACATTTTCTAGTATGAGACTGTGTATTAGCTGTATTAGGTGTGTAAAGTAAATATAATTAATTCATTTTCAGACTGAATAAAAGTAGTCTGTCCCGTGACCATGAACGCTGTAAAGGGTTCGAAACGACGGGAATTAAAATTAAAAATAAACGCGATAAATCCGTAAAATTAGTTGCATTTATACTGAATAAAAGTGTTAAAATTAAAATTTTATAACTCGCGGAAGGCTCCAGGAAACTTGCTTGAAATCCTTTATAGGTAATTTTAATGCTGTTTATTTTTATCATGTATAAGAGTCGTATGAAAATACTTACCAAAAACAGCCACTAAATATTGTTTAGTAAACACCATTTTGAGTCTTAAAGTATTACTCAAAAAGTGACGATGGACTAAATCGTCCATTACTGTTCTCACATGTTATTGCATTTAATCAAAGTTAAAATTTCTTAATCAATCTTACTTATCGGACCATAACAGATATTCGATAGATACATTATTTATCCATGTTGCAACTTTTACGTATTATACTGGGCCGCAAAAATAACGGGTCGCTAAAAACTCTAACTTAACTATAGTTTCATAAATATATATAAAATTGATTAGTAAAACTGCCGCATATTTTGGATAGTTATTAATACATAATTAAAAATTCAATCTATAAGTACGTGTAAAACAAGATATTTATTTTAAATTTTGGTCTATTTTTTAACGTCATTAAAGTATTCGTCAACTCGTGTAAGATATCTGGACCTGGAAAGCATATCTCATACATTCATTAGACTTTCATATAGCTTAACTTTATTTTACACTAGCGACCCGCTCCGGCTTCGCACGGGTGGTGCAATTATACATATAACTTTCCTCTTGAATCACTCTATGTAGTAAAATATTATTACAAAATCACTAATATTGACATTAATATTCATACGATACTAACGTCACTCAATTGTATTGTCTTCCCGGAACCCCTCCACTAACACTTAAACTTTATGGTATGGTATTAAAGTTCAAATTGACTTAAGTATTATTACGAATCTTTTGTATGGGAATATAGAAAAGTGTTGTTTTTGGAATTTTTCAGGCAATTTTTAAAATTTTTCTCTCCGTAAGAACCATCCTCGTACTTCAATTATAAAAAAAAAGAATTAGCGAAATCAGTTCAGCTGTTCTTGAGATTTGCGCTTAGCAACACATTCAGCGATTCATTTTTATATATAGATTACCTGCTGCTTTAGCTTACAGTACGTAGTATAAATACTACGTATTACAGTACGCTTACAGTACGTAGTATAAATACTACGTATTACAGTACGCTTACAGTACGTAGTATAAATACTACGTACTGTAAGCTAAAGCAAAGCTGGCTTCGTCACTCAGAACGTGTATATCCCAAGAGCTAGATACGACCTTTCACGGTAAGGTAAGACCACGCATGTGGTTATGGGTGTGTTATTTAATGGGAGGGAATGTCACCTACAAGCAACGAGCTTAACCGCCCTGAAAACTAAGCGTGTACGTCTACTAAACCTTGTGTACACTTTGTGTTTGTTTTGCCGTGCTTCTAGACGAGGACGGAGTAATTTGTTGTCAGTATTATGTATTGGTTGATTTTTGTTAGGAGTGAGGCGAATTATCGTAACAGGTAAATAACAGGTATCTTGAGATAACAGACTGTACTTATTAAGCACAAAAAAAAACAGTTCCTATTCCACACAGTGTTCCTTAACGCGCTATCAGAAACTTTTCTGTACTCATCCTTTCGACTGTTACCTTAATTAGAAAGAGATTTATCGTCCAATCAGTCGCCTCAGTTGCCTGGGGAGCTCTACCAGCGGCTGTTACGTAGGCTCAAAGAGCACGTATTTTCTAACGGCCTTATGCCGGTTGAACAATTCGGCTTTCGAGCTAAACATTCCTGTCCCGATCAGCTATACCGCCTAACGGAACATATCCTGAAAGGCCTAAATCACCCGAAACACATTAGCACGGGAGCTCTTTTCTTCGATGTCGCAAAGGCATTCGACAAAGCCTGGCACAACTTGATTTACAAGCTGTTCGCACTCCAAGTGCCAGACAGGCTCGTACACACCATTCGGGTCTTCCTGTCGAACCGCTCCTTTCGACATCGAATTGAGGGCGCCGTTTCCACAAGCCGCCGCCTCACGGCTGGCATTCCACAAGGCTCCTGCCTCTCACCCTTACTTTTTACGCTCTACACGAGCGATATACCAAAACACCCCCCCACGTCAATCTCGCGCTTTTTGTGGATGACACGGCCCTCTTTTACACAGATAAAAATCTTAATCGACTCACTACTCGTCTCCAAAGCGCCACCGACCTCTTCGGCAATTGGTTCCACTAATGGAGAATTGAAGTAAATCCTGAAAAGAGTGTGGCAATTCACTTCACATGAAGTATTTACCCGTCACATCTTTATAAAGGTCGTCGCGAATGCAGAAAGTTAGGGCAAATATCTCTTTATGGCCAACCGCTCCCCTAGGAGAAGAAGATCAAATACTTAGGAGTCACTTTCGACTCGCGTATGTCATTTACTACGCACATTAATAACATATGTTATAGAGCCGCGTTCGTCTCCTGCCGGCTACACAATTTAACTAAAGCTAAAAGTAAAATGCCCTTAAGGCACAAATGCTTTGCATTATCAAATTCAATCGATTTTATTCATACGGAGGTGCATTAACTGTTAAAAGGTTGACTAGATTTTACAATCTATTTGGTCTTACAATCTAATTAAATCTATGTGATTGAGTTCCTAGGAAAAAACACAATGAATTGGCGACAACCTCATCACATAAAAACTTATGTTGCATAATTGAAAAGCCTGTCTAATGAAATCAGTTTACAACTTCAAAGTGACGATTCCCACTCGATTAATACAAAACTTGTGATATTTTGTATTCAAAACTGCTTTCTAAAAAAAATCAGCAGACGAGAATTCAATAACATCCCAAATTTAACAGCAGTATCATATAGGAACGATGGCTTGCTTTTTACCGTAAATACTTTGAAAACGTCCACAGTGATTTTAAGGAACGATTCAAGGATATTTAAAACATGGAAGCATCACGCACCGGACTGAGTTTTGGATCCTTTTTCAGATGAATACAGCAGGATCATCCCGCTTAAAATAACTAATTGTAATAACAAACAAAATGACAACAAATAAAGTATTAAAATACAATTTAAGAATGGCTATCAAGAGCCGGCGGTTCACCTAATTGTGATAACCGCCACCCATGGACATTTGCAACACCCGTAGGGTTGCAAATGCGTTGCCACCTTTTAATAAAGTGGGCCCCAGCTACCTCACTCACCAGGCGAAACGCAGAAGTATAACACTTCCACTTCACGCCGGTCTTCTGTGAGGTCGTGGTACTTACCCGGAGGAGCCTGCCCTTTCGTGCAACAGCCGAAGCTGTTGCGTGGCCCTACCACATCTGTAATTAATTACGGCGTAGGCATACAGTGACAGACCTGTTCATTCGCTTGCTGTAATTACGCGGATAAATCTAATTACACCAATTGCCGTAATTTGATTGCCTCAGTTTCGGCGCGCTGGTGTCTTAACTACCTCGTGTTTGAATATAACTGCACAGAGAATGGTGTGCAAATTATTTCTGATAATTTTTATCGTTCAGGCATCTTTTATCCGATTGTAGTGAAAATTCGATAGAGAGTTGGTACTCACCGAAGGTTTGAAGGAAATCATTTACATAGAGTACGTCAACATACATATAGGAGATACAGTGTTAAACAATTCGGAAAATCAGAAATCATTGTCGATACTTGACTGAACTTTTTACTAGGTTCTATAGAAAGAATATTGAGCTAAATTTATTTATATAAATGTCAATGTCTTAATTTCAACAAATTTTACGAAATAAACAGCTAAGGTACTAATCATATTCCTCTAGTTTTATTATATTATTTACCTACAGCGCATAATCAGGGCATACTTGAGTGGCAGGTGCATCCATTACGTGGGTCGGAACGCCTTAGTCCATCGAAGGGAGGTGAATTGTGGGGTTCCACAAGGGTCAGTGTTAGGACCTTTACTGTGGAACCTCACCTACAGTGAGGTCCTTCGGATTGGTCTCCCCGTTGGTGCTAGTGTCATTTGATATGCATATGACACTCTTGTACTTGCCGACGAGAAGAGCTTTGAGAGCACCAGTCGGTTTGCCGAGCTTAGTGTGGCTTGTGTCGTGGGAAAATTCCATGAGTTGGATCTTCGAATAGCAGCTCAAGAGACTGGGGAGATCTGGTTCAATAAACTCCCCAGAGGAAGGGATCCACCCAGGTATTTGGTTCGCATTGGTGACGTGCAGACCTAGGTGAAATTAAAGATGAATTATCTCGGTCTCACTCTGGAAAGTCGCTGAAACTTCGAAGGGCACTTTAACCGCCTGGCCCCTAAGGATCGAGAAGGTGATGGGTGCTATGCACAAACTGCTGCCAAATCTTGGAGGCCCCAGGGAAGGAGGCTGCCGCCTTTATGCGGGGGACAAACACTCATATGCGAAACAACTATCTGTGGGTCACACAAATAGTTATCCCGTGTGGGAATCGAACCCACGACCCCCGACGCCGAAGCCAATACCTTGACAACAACGCCACGGAGTCGTCACAATTTTATTTGGTGATATATGTACTTATGTAGCGATTCAATAATTTTTCCGCGATTTATGTCAAAACAAAATGAATTACATCACACGTAATGTAGTCAAATCTACATATAATACATAATTTATTTATAACTTGAAATGTAATTAATGTAAACCATTACTGTGATCAACTTATAATATTGTAATGTCCTTATAATTTAAGGATGAATTCAATTCACGCTTCTGACGGGAGGTATTTGTACATCCCCTATTGCAACAAACCTTTTTTACTTTACAACAGGCCCCTAAATTCTGGTGTGCCCTATGTATGGCCTAAGATAGCACTGTCGAAAACCTATTATTAGGCATCAAAAGAATTACAGTAAGTTAAAAATTACAGTAAGACGGCAAAAAAACACATAATTGTCTACGGAACATGTATATTTTGCTTAACTTAAATTACTTCGTGAGATCTTTTAAAAACGCTTAAGAATTAGAATCGACCTTCACCATCAACTTTTCCGTTACTTTATGCTTCAGTGGGAGAAAAGGTATGACGTCGTCTGCTTCCTTCATCTGCGTTGTTGGCATCTAAAAAAAAATTTACATCAAGTGGTATTTTACCGGCGATAATAATTGTAAGCCTTCAGGTGTAACAGGTTTAAGGCGATGGTAGTCACTTACCATCAGGTGAGCCTCCTACTAGTTTGCCCCTTTTACCCATAAAAAAATTAATAGAATCGGTGATGTAGTTACAAGCTATTGACTTCGGCGCTCAAGTCCTGGTCTATCACCTTGGTACATTGTAGTACAAAATTTGAATTTAGGCGAAAACTTTCCGAGCAGCGAGAATCGGATTTGATTCTTCGGGGTAAGCCGTAAAGAAGCTTTTCCAATTAAACTCATTCTCGCAAGCGTCCGATGATATCAGGGTATGAAAATCTCAACAAATATCCATCCCCTTTATTGTAAGCAATAGCGTAAGCGATTCATGTCGGCGCCATCTAGTGTGCATATATTGCAGTATGAAACATCTTACAAATAGCAGTTAACTATATTGAGAGATATCGCCTTTGCTCTTAAAATTTCTGTTTTATTTTATTTCATTTTTAATGCTAGTGACTCAAATTGATTTGATTTTGATTGAGCACTCAAATTGAAACTGAACATGTGAATCTTTGAAGATAAATGGACAAAATATATATATATATATATATCTCGTACCGCCGAATCTATATATATATATATATATATATATATATATATAGATATATATATATATAGATATATATATATATAGATTCGGCGGTACGAGATTCGATTTAAAAAATTACAATAATTTTGAGCAATAAAATATTTTACAAAAAGCATGCTTACATTTAAGTCCTTGGCTGTAGATTCTTTGGCGGTAAATTCTCGGAGGATATAATTAGCGTTCAGCATATGGAACATTCTGGTCTCGTGTGAACGCACTAGGACGTCATCAACCCTTAAGAAGTATCTCAGCAGCACATACCAGTAGGACGGCATCACTCTCTGAAAATTACAAAAATGATGATAAAAAAGGAATGAAAAGGAGGTTATGGGTAATTCAATTAATCATACTTTTAATTATCCAAAAAAAGTTATGTAACATTTTCAAGACTTCAGCCGTTAGCCGCGGCTATTCACTTAACACATAGTGAAGTGGCGATTTCCTGCTCGACAACTTTTCACATAAAAAAGAATCTTTTTATTTCTAGAAGGCGGCAAATTAGAAGGCACTTGATGTTAACTTATAATCGCCTCGGTGCCTTCAAGCAATAGACTAAGAAAAAAAATACAAATAAAACTGCTTCCCGCAAGTGATTACAACCGCCTATGACCCGGTTGAAGAAGTGGCTAAGGGATAAAATTTGAAGCCACGGGTTTGAATTGAATTTCCAACTGAGACAAGTATTTGTATAAACTATGGACAATTATTAGGGTTCTGATTGCTTGTCGTTCTTTCATTTGTTAACACGCCTCTACAAAATAGAATTATCTCATCCGACAATAAAGCAAAATTAAAACAATAAAACATATCTCACAAAGTTTCTTGTTTTCATTCTCCATAATAATACTATTATATTGTTCACTTATATAGATAATTAAACTGCAGGTTATCCTCAATGTACATAATACAAAAGATAGACCCTAGTAATAAAATAGCAAAAAGCTTACAATAAAAAATAATCAAACACATTCTGCATAATTATGATATTATAGTTTTGGTACATTAAAAATTACAAAATGCATAATTATTGAGAAGTTTAGGGTTAAAACAGAGTAAATTAAACAATTATCTATATATATAAATATGAATCCCTATTTCCCTTCATCACGCGTGAACGGCTGGACCGATTTCGCTATTTTTTTTTTATAATATTCCTTAAAGTAAGAAGATGGTTCTTACAGAGAGAAAAATTTAAAAAATTGCCTGAAAAAGTCTAAAAACAACACTTCTATATTCCCGTACAAAAGATTCGTAATAATACTTAAAAGTCAATTTGAACTTTAATACCATACCATAAAGTATAAGTGTTAGTGGAGGGGATCCGGGAAGGCAAAACTAGTGAGTGACTGTTGTAAAATGTCACTTGAAATGTTAACTCTTTGCTGTGCATCACTACATAGTATAAAACAAAGTCGTCCCGCTGTCTGTCTGTCCTTATGTATGCTTAGATCTTTAAAACTACGCAACGGATCTTGATGCGGTTTTTTACTAAATAGAGTGATTCAAGAGGAAGGTTTATATGTATAATGCATTGCACCCGTGCGAAGCCGGGGCGGGTCGCTAGTTAGTCATAAAAAATTATAAACTGGGTAATTAAATAAACATTGAGCATTAAAATGGCAAAATGGAAGGTTAAAAAATCAGAGAATCAGAGATATCTCGGTCAAAGCAGTTCTATAAACAACAAAGGAGGGGTAAAGTGTATGGTTTTTTTATGTATGGTTTGTATGACTTACCCTTTTTTTTTCAGTAAATATAAGTATTGAAAAAGGAAACGACTTTTGTTGGAGTAATAATAAACAAAACAATAGGTTTGATTATAAGTATTAGTAAAACGAAATTTGCTTACAGGCTAAAATTAAAACTTATAGCTTTAAACCTTGTGCGTCTTTAAGGTTTAAAGCCCTCTAACAAACGTTTACCTCTCTTTTCAATCACAATAACCATTGAATGTCTCTCTGCTCACTGTGAACTGCCGAACTATTTATCTAACTGTAAAAATTTTGGAATAGGCAAAATTTTTACTGAAAATTTATTCTTTACACTGCTTACATATTGTTACGAACACACAAAGGAACTAACGCCATCTAGCGTCAACTATTAAAACCACTAAAGAACAAAAACGACATAAAACCCCCTATTCAATACTAGATGGCGTAGAGGAACTGCTGTGGAACTATAGTCTCGAAAACCGGGTACATTCGCGAACTTTCCGGAATCACGAACATGTTCGTGCGTGTCGGGTACGTTCCAGGAAGGATCTTTCTCAAAAACAGGGTGAAAGAGAAGTTGATATTGCATATTTCAGCAAATCTTTATCCAAGCCAGACAGAAACTACTGTGTGACAAGAAGAGAACTCTTGGCTGTTGTCAAATATCTCATCGGCAGACAGTTTTTACTGCGAACTGATCACGCAGCCTTGAAGTGGCTACTGCAATTCAAGAACCCAGAAGGTCAAGCAGCTCGATGGATTGAACAGCTCCAGGAGTATGACTTCAAGACGGAACACCGCAGTGGAAAGACGCATGGGAATGCCGACGCACTCTCACGAAGGCCGTGTTCAGAAGACTGCAACCATTGCGTCAAACAGGAATCTAATGAAGTAACATTAAAGCTAACGAGAACAAGTCCTTTGGGTCTCTGGGAGAATGATGCTATGAGGGAGGCTCAAGAAAGAGATGACGACCTTCGGCACATCATCACATGGAAGAAACGGGGTGACGTAAAACCAATCTGGAGTGAGGTTGCTCCCACTGGCGCCGTCACAAAGGCGTACTGGGCGCAATGGGACAGTCTGATACTTCAAAACGGAATACTCTACCGGAAATGGGAGAAGACTAACGGCAGAGAGTTCCATCTTCAGATAATCGTCCCGAGAACGAGAGTACCAGATGTTCTCCGTGAAATACATGATGGCGTATCAGGAGGTCATCTAGGTGTCAAGAGGACGTTAACAAAAGTGCGAGAACGGTTCTACTGGTTGCATTGTCGAAATAATGTACAGGATTGGTGCCGCAAATGTACTACTTGCGCTGCTGTAAAAGGACCACAGACCAGAAGCCGTGGGAACCTGCGGTTGTATAACGTCGGTGCACCGTGGGAACGAATTGCAGTTGACGTAGCTGGGCCATTTCCTGTAACGGAATCGGGAAACAAGTATTTTATTTTATGTTCGTCATGGACTACTTCACCAAATGGCCCGAAGTGTTCGCCATACCAAACCAAGAAGCTACAACAGTCGCTTCTAAGTTAGTCGAAGAAGTGATATGTCGCTTTGGTGTGCCTCTAGAAATCCATTCCGATCAGGGCAGGAACTTCGAATCGCAAGTATTCCAGGAAGTGTGTAGAATTTTGGGCATGCATAAGACGAGGACCACCGCGTGCCACCCACAGTCTGATGGAATGGTTGAGAGATTTTAACCAGACCCTTGAGAGGCATCTGGCGAAATTGGTAGACGACAAACAAAAGGATTGGGACAAGTATATACCACTCTTCCTTCTGTCGTACCGAACCGCCGAGCATGAGAGCATAAAAGCTACCCCGGCGTATGTCAATGACGGGAGAGAACTACGATTACCAGTAGACCTATTGACAGGAGGGTCACCGGAGGGACCAGAGACCGTACAAGACTATGTCTGCAATTTAAGGGAAAAAATGCGCTATATACACGCCTTGGTTCGGGAGAATGGGTTACAGTCAAGTGAGAACATGAAAACCAGATACGACCGGAAATCGAACACGGACGGCTTCGAGGAAGTGTCACTGGTGTGGCTGCATAACCCAACTCGTCGGAAAGGGAAATTCCCAAAGTTGCAGACCAAGCGGGACGGTCCATACAAAGTGGTTACCCGACTGAATGATGTGACTTATAGGATTCAAAAGCAACGATGTTCGTGCGTGTCGGGTACGTTCCAGGAAGGATCTTTCTGGATTAGTCCGGAACCGGTCTCGGCCCATATAAAAAGCCGCAGGGAGGCGAACAGCACAGTTCAGTTTGAGCTACCTTCGAGGCGATTTCGGAGCGAAAACTAGTGATCAAGAGCGATACCAGTGAAACCTACGACTTGGCTACAAAATAGGACATCGTTAGTGCTTTGTGTTGGACCTAGTGCTAGCGAATAAAGTCTTCAAAAGAGTCAGCAGGTCTTTCTCTCCAAATCCTTTGAACCCTAACATGTAACAATATTTTTGTATAGCATTTTTTTAATTACTGTTCATTTTTTACTGTTGCACTAAATTAACAACTGCCGAAAGATAAAATAACTGCCTATTATTTTTTTCATAAGATCATAATAAGTAACTGAATGTTAAAATAACAGTTTTAAAAATTATATATTACATCATTATGACAATATGCAATCCATTAACTTTGTAATTTATAACAAGCTTTTATTGTTTTACCCATTCCTCTTAGGTCAGTAGATTTTCTTATCTGAACCAGTAGTAGTATTTTCACAATCAAGAAGTAATTGTAATGTTTTATTATTGAATAAACATATTTTAATTTGAATGGTCAGTATTTAGGTTAAAAAATAACAATCCAAACCCCCTTCAAAAATGGGATTATAATTCAATATTTCAATAATCCCATGTCATGTTATAGTTGAGAACATAAAATAAAGACTAATTGTAACTAAATTAATCAATCATACAATTAAATGCACATAATTGTCATCTTCTTTTTCTTTTATGGTGGCTCATAACAGTCTGTTGTCAAAGACAGTTAGGTACACAGAATAGAGATTGTCACCAAAGAATTATATAAAGTCAGACAATTTCAAATACATTGTCAGAAATAAAAAATAAGATTTACTGAATTGTTGTCTTTACTACCTTTAATGAAACGGGTTATTGAGGAAATTAAAGCAGATAATAGATTTTTTTTTACTTTATAGTCAATTTATGTTATAAATCTAAAAAACAAAAAGTAGAAATTTATCCCGGCCATTAAAGCAGAAAATAGACTATATGCAATCATTGAAAATATTTTGGATAGCCATATGGGCACTGAAGATTTATGCATTTGATAAAGCAAAATACAGTCCACGTTAACATAATCCAAACACAAAACAACTAGAAAGAAAATTAAATTCCTTTGTTAGTGGTTGAAATTAAAAATTAATTATGTATCCTTACAATTTTAACAGACATCTTGGAAATCCCATGATCATGCAGTTCATCTTCAAACAGTGTCAAATCATGGTAGAAGAGTATCTGGTCTCTTTGTTTTAACAATTCAAAATCTATTTTTTCATCTGTTGACTCTACTACAATATCATTGCTTAATGTGCCTTTATAATCTGTTGAGAAAGTCCAATCAAAATTTTGTTTCTTCTTTTCTGCATCTGGTCTTATTGTACAAAAATAATTGTTAAAATAATTTTCCGTACTAGCTAAATGCATATATATAGATTACAAACTTATGAACTAACACAATTGAAATGATGAACCTAGTGCCTGAGGACACTTAAATTAATATTTCCATCATTGTATTTATAAGGGTAGGTAAACAATAAAAATACAAGAAGATTCATCACTTATTATTTTAGTATTTTTATGAAGCTCTTTGGTGGCCTTTTATCTATTGGTTTTATGACCAAATAACATATCACATCTTTTGTTGACCAAAATAACTTTTAATAGCAAAATCTTACTATATAAGTTTTCAAACATCTTAAATAAAAATTACCAAATTGAGCTTACCTAGATTCCTGCCAAGCTTCTGCACAAGCAACCTCAATAGCTTGAACTCTATTTGATACACACTTTAGAGCATCCAGTGGGTTAAAATTTATGAAAGCACCACTTTCATGAGACAATATAAGTATATTTTTTGGAAATACCATATCCGGAAAGTGTGGTATACTTAGCTCTTTACAGTATCTAAAAGGAAACTCACTATTAACAAAATATAAGAGAATTACATAGATATTAAAAGAATAAGCCATCAAATTTTAGGTGAATATAAATGTAATACTTACATACAAAACTGACAGTATTGATCGTCGTCTCGTTCACAAACAATCTTTGTGGAACAAACACTCGGTAAAATAGAACTGACATCGTAGGAAATGTGCCACGGTCCAAACTGTATGGACTGAGAATGGGTTTTATATCGACCAGAATCAACACTGCCTCCCTAAAAAAAAATAGAAAACGACACAAATGACATAAAATATTGTCCTGAAACACATAGGTATTATAAAGCCACTTTCAAACAAAGGTCACTTACTTCGGCTACAAACATCATAGTTCTACTGAGGGTAACTATAGGTACTGTAAAAGGAAGGTAAACTTAATTTAATACAAGGCTAATGTACTGATAAATATTAAAAATCCTTTAGTTTCAAGAAAACAAGTTTAAAAACTAAAGGATCAATGCACCAATAACCATAGATAAGACATAATATACTGAAAAATGAAATGCCAATGCCACTGACACTGACTGGAATGGATCAGTATTGCAAGACTAGCAGAAAAATAATGTTTCCATCAGCATCATCATTCATCATGTTATAGGTTTTTTTTATCGAAATTATACTTCTTTTGGCGCGTTTGGAAAAAAAAATTGAAAGTAAAATTTTTACGATGCACACCGACATCCAAATTATGGACCAAATCTAACAACATCACGGTATTACCGTGGCAAAAAATAAAAACTTTTTCACATTTATATTTCGAAGATATTTAATTCCCATATTGATTTGATGTATTTTTTACAAACAAAGAGTACTGCAGACAGTACAGCAGATGAGATAGAATTTTTCTTATGTTGCATTAAAGAAGTACATTGTATATAAGTACACACATCATTGTTCTGTCCTTTTGTTTTTAATACAATTTGTTTTAATTTAATACTAAATATTCTTAGTCTACATATTATTATTGAAACAAAGTTTTCACCAAGAATGGTTTATGTTTACGCGTTTTTGTAAGGGCTACGCTTAAACATCTAAGTTACGTATTCTAAAATCCTGTATTAAATTTAAAAAAATCAGTTGCTTATTTACAGAACAGCAAAAAAGCTTACTTTTTTCTTAGATTTAAGATATAGTAAAATTGTAATAGATTTTTTTATCTTTTTATGTGTAACACTAGCTGTACACGGGGAAATGGAAATCAATATGGCCGACTGTTACCGGTCGGTTTGTGTGTTTTGATGGTTAATTTTTATTAGAAAAATATTTTAGCTAGCTATAGAATTATAGCTGTTTTGCAGAAACAGTAAAAATTTAAACTGATAATGGAAGCCCTGATACCTGTTATAAACAAATTACAAGACGTGTTTAATACTGTCGGGGCTGATGCCATTCAATTACCTCAAATAATAGTTTTAGGAACACAGGTATTAATTCAATTTATTATTTACAATAATTTTATATTTATGTGTGTAATTATATCATAGGCTACTATTAAGCTACTAAAGTAAATAAAACGGAAAATTTGAACGGTTATGTAAAAATGTCACTGAAGTTCTTTGTCCCCATTTTAGTAAAATTTAAACTAGACGTTAATCATCTTTCGTGAAGGTTTTTATCAAAAATTTTACAGCCGTATAATATTTCCTTTGTAATTAATTGGTATTTAGATAGATGTGATTTAATGAGCAAAACTGTACATTGTTAACGTTGGTTATTTCTTTACAGAGCTCTGGTAAAAGTTCCGTGATAGAAAGTTTAGTAGGACGGTCATTTTTACCCCGTGGACCAGGTATTGTCACTAGACGCCCACTTATCCTGCAATTAGTGTACAGCCCAAAGGACAGTAAGGAACACCGTTCAGCTGAAGAAGGTATGTTTCATTTATTATTATACTATCACAATTACAAAGCAGAAATCAAAATCTCAATTTACTGAAAATACTTATGCCAGATTATCTCTTTATACAGAAATCAAAATCTCAATTTACTGAAAATACTTATGCCAGATTATCTCTTTATAATAGTTGCTAAAACATATCTATGATACAATTTAAAAATGTACTAAAGAATACTAGAGATAATAAAATAATATTACTTTAATTATTAATAATTTTAACCCTTAAATGAATATTCATTGGGTATTTACACTATCATCATTATTTTATGTAATAATTAAATATATTGTATTCACTTGCACTAGAAATTTTTAGGTGTCAATATTGGTAGACATACATATAGCCTTCTGTTGTTTACATTTTTTGCATAAAATTCTCATCAGACTTCTTTATCAATTGAATACAACAAGTATTGTGAATGTTATGTCTGACTCATTAACTATGGTTCATTGTGTTTACTGGAACAATGAGATGTACATCAAGCAAGCTGTTAGCTAATAATGCAATTGACATTTAGGGATCAATGTTATATGATACATTATGAAGTAGTTTTAATTCTTGCAATATTACAACAATGTATACTTATATTTATGTATTAATTAGTAATTTACTGGTAAAAGTAAAGATTTATTGTTTTGAAAAGAATAAAGAAACATGCTTTCTCATGTCACATAAAAATATTACCTGAATTTTTCATGATAATAAATAATGATATTATATATATTCATAATCTGTTTGATTTCATTATATTAGAGATCAAAACTTAAGTAATTAATATTTAAGAAAATAATGAATATAGGTAAATTATTGTTTTAAATTATTATGGTTTTGTTCTTTTCAGTCGGTAAGTTTTAGTCTACCTTTCAGCAAATAACTAGAGAGTAGACCGTATAACCCTTGCTTGCGACTGCAAGCTAATATTAAAAACAATGTTAATGTTTATTATTACTAGGTAGCAAAAAATTATAATGTTTCCCAGACAAAAAAAGTGATGCTGCATATCAGTAAATTTATTACTAACCATCACATGTTAACATAGCATTAGTAAATTTAAATTCAAAGGTACCTTTGTTTAATATAATTAAATAAACTCAAATACATCCTGGTATGTACAGCAAGACTCAATTAGAATTCCAAAAAACTGGCCAAATGGAATGCCACTCTTATTTAGGCTGTTATATCAGCTACTTAATTGGTATATTTATTGATACTAATTTATGATGGGAATGATATGCGTGGCATGCATATCATGGCACTGGCTAAAAATGCTCAAATGAAATAAAGAAGACTTGTATTTTTTTTTTATACCAATATAATATACGTACGGAAATAAGCATTGAGATTGGAATAGCCATGTTTTTTTTTTCAATTACAACATTCTTAGTAGATGTTACAAGCACTGTTTGACACGCGCATGATAAAACATCGTATCACACAATCGCTAAAATAAGTCGTAACCTTATCAATGATCAATCCAAGACGTCAGAAATGAGTTTAGATTTGATTTTGTTTTAATTACAAAATGGCTAATGACTGATTTCTGCCCTACAAAGCAACATGTTTTTGACGTAGTCTTAGGTAGCGACAACAGTGTAACTATAGTTTAGAGTGCGCAAAACTTTTATTCGCCTCTGAAGTTCACGGTATCTGGTTCATAAGTATCAAACAGGAGACATGCGGGGGGAGGGTTATTCGTATAACTCTCTCTTTCGCACCGCAGCCCGAACTGCTTTCTGTCTCGCTTCTTTAACTACAGCTTTGTCCGCTACTGTACACCAAGTACAGTTGCGAACAACACTTGTTAACTAGTTTTGAAAAAAGACACTTGTCTGACATTTGTGCTATCATAAATTCGCATTAAAGTTTTGCGCTATCTATATGTATCGTAGAACTAACACATTTTTATTAAAAAATTATATTTGTACTTATGTACACCTTAGAAGTTATACTTCTTTAGTGTAAAAAATTAAAAATGATTTAACGCGCAAAAAAAAGTATAACTTCAAAAATCTTTGGTTATAACGTACAATATGTATTTAAGTAGTCTATGCTTGTAACTTCAGTACTCAGAGACAAGAATACAGGATCGATCAGTTTGTGGAATTCAATTACGCAATTATCGAACTTAGCTATAGCCAAAGGTTGGTATACTAATATATCTTATATGAAATTATATGTTCATGGACAGAGAATCGGTACTAACTCATTCACTTAAACATTAAAAAGCTAATTAATATTTGTTTATTTTCTTCAAATTGTGACGAATTTTCTTTTAAATTAATCAAGCAATACATTTTTGTAAGAATATCTGCGTTATCATTCATTTGTCATCTGCTATCTTTGTACAATATAATATCATGCTTATTGTAAAGACTTACACACATTTTAAGCATGACATTAATTTTTTATTTCTTGTTTTAAAAATACTTTTATTGTTATTGCATTCCATTATATATAGGAAGCATTCTATTACAACGTGCAAATGTTTTTATGTTCCCGTAGCGAATAACTTTTATTTATCGATATTACAGGAGACCTCAAAATTATTCACTCATTAAGTAAAATTTAAATGGTGATCATTAAGTAAAATTTAAATAGTGAAGTCTTTTCCAAAAAAAGGTGTTATAGGCTTATTTATCTATAATGTTACAAAAATTATCATATTGATCATAATTATACATTGATTAACTAGAATTCAAATTGGGAAACGTAGTATAAATTTTATGCAGGTTTAGTTTCCTTTTTGTCGATCTAGTTTCTTATAACATTACTGTACAAACAAATGATATAAGATGTTTTTACAATAAGTGTAGTCGATTGGTATTCATGATGATGACGACAAAATGTAGTAGTGTTGTGATTATTTTAGGCACAGTGAATCTAGAGGAATGGGGCAAGTTTCTCCACACGAAGGACAGGATATACTCGGACTTCGATCAGATCCGTCAAGAGATAGAACGGGAGACAGACCGCATGGCGGGCAGCAACAAGGGCATCTGTCCCGAAGCGATCAATCTAAAAATATACTCGACCAAAGTTGTCAATCTCACACTAGTCGACCTCCCCGGAATCACAAAGGTATTGCAATAAATTGTCTTCGATTCGTTTTCCCCATTCTATTAAAGGTCGCCATCGGCTCAATCGTAATCATTTCTTACATTCACTTAAATACTATTGTTTCCTACATTGCTTATGAAACTATTTTATGTAAATGGTACGGAGAAATAGTGACCCGTGACTGTATATTCGAAACTTCTGGAATTTGAAAACGAATCAAAGTCAATAGCATACGTAAATGGATTTGCTTTTTTTACACATTAGTTGATCGTTCGAAAACTCAAACCTAAGCGATCACCATTCATGCCGACGCATCGACAACAATATAAATTAATTGTGTCGCCGCCAAATAGCGCTCCACTAATATCCAATTTAAATTTGGGTGTAGTAAATAAACTAAAGTGTTTTTGAATCGTAAACATTTAACTGCACGCGTCTCAACTATTTTTTTTTATTAAAAGACAAGATTTCAGCTATATATCGTCACGAAAAACACCAAATTAAAGTGACAGTTTGTTTAGTTAGCCGGCCATGACAATTTAAATGTAATATAAAATAAAACACACGTTGAAAAGTTAAGTCGCCAATATCTGTACACAATCTACTGCTATCTAAATCCTTCTGGAAGTGAAATACCTAAGTTAACACACGACACTGCAACGTATCCTCAACAGTCAAACAAAAATTATCTCGCGGCAATATACTGTTTGGTTAGCACAAACTGAAAAGCTAAATATATAGCTGGGAGACTTATTCCACCACAGGAACAAACCTTTTAGTGAAAAAACTTCCGATGCCCATGTATCATTCATAGTATGAAGAAAGTCGTCCCGCTGTCTGTCCCTATGTAACTTCGACTATGGCTTGATTTTTTGTTTTTACGCAAATGTCGTTAAATTAAACTGTGTTTCGTTAACCGTCTGATGTTCTACATTCTCTTTCCAGTCTGTGGCTTGAACATCGCTGGAAAGGGTTCGATACGTCGGGAATTTAGAATCAAATTAAAACGCGATAAAGTCCGCAAAATAGTTTCATTTGTGTGTCATTAATTTTCAACTTAATATAATTGTATAAATTTAAAAGGCATCTACTGCAACGTCCAATCATATTTTCATGCAATTTCGATCCAGGTGCCCATAGGCGATCAGCCCGAGGACATCGAGAACCAGATTAGGAACCTGATCATAAAGTACATATCGAATCCGAACTCGATAATACTGGCAGTCACCGCGGCCAATACGGACATGGCGACCAGCGAGGCCATTAAGATGGCGAAGGAAGTGGACCCCGACGGCAGACGGACCCTCGCCGTGGTGACCAAGCTGGATCTAATGGACGCTGGTGAGTTTTGCTCGTCTCTAAAGCCGAAGGGAATGCAACATTTTACAGGTCTCAGTGTCTAGTTCTCCGATATCGTTTTATACGTGGGTTAAAGTCGATCAGTTTTAACGGTTTTCAATTTTAACGTCGCATAAGCAATGATGTTTTTAATTATTAAATGACATACGTAAGTGAGTGTGACAGATGATATAGAAAGTATGATACATTTCTGTCCATCCTGTCCACTTCCGAAAATGTATATAGTTTTAAACTAGCTCGCAAACCTCGTGGATAGACCACTGGAGAAGAGCGGAGATTTAATGCAATCCTATTGTTAAATTTTTCTTCGCTTCTTCGCTCTGCAGCCTTGCCCCGCTTCAGTGGACAGGCAGCCTTACAGTCTCGTAAACAAACGTTTTTCGTAAGCAGTCGTCATTCTAAAAAGCTTATTAGTAAGACTTTATATTAATATAATGCCAATTATTCGTTTCGTTTAACGTATTGATTCGAATAACGTATAGGACGAATTACAATTTTCCGAAACTATTGTTTGATTTAATATTATTGGTTCACAACCAACAAAGGAGTCGATGGTTCACAACTTATAAAACTGACCTTACAATTTGAAATGATTGCTTCGAATCAAGCAGACGTAGTAGCCGGTTCAAACGAGTGTATACTCAGAGTTTGACCCCTCAATTTCGATGTCGATTTTATAAAACAAATCGTTCCCGCAATGTCAGATCTATTATTTCGCATATCTTTATCATATATATATATATATAAATGAATTGCTGTTCGTTTGTCTCGCTAAAACTCGAGAACGGCTTGACCGATTTGGCTAATTTTGGTTTTGAAATATTACAATATTATTTTATTTTCCAATACAAACTGTACAGACCTGTCAACCTGTCAACTATGTCTGTGTAACCTGTCAAACACTATGCGTGCGTTAGGATTCCTCTAGAAATAATTTAAATGGCTAAACAACGTTTGCCAAGACAGCTAGTTACAAATAAATCAATAACCCGATGCGAACAATAAAGACGTGATAGTGAGTAACACAACTAATTACTAATGAGCTGAACCCTAATAAATTGGAAAGACGTAAAAGGAAATAGTAAATATAGCTCAAAGATATGCTTCGAATTCTCTTCTTCTTTGATCAATTGTCTCTTTTATAGAAATCTGCCAATGTCAATCATGGAAGTCATAATTATTTTTGTAAATGTGAATCTTTTATAAAAAAAAAGTTCAACATTTTTGGCTCTTCAGGATTCGAACCTCCGTCTTCCGGTTATCGCGCCCAGATGTTCTAACGAACTACGCTAAGCGGCCATTGACCTCACATTTTTTTTAGAATTAATTCATATTTTATGATTCATCGTACGTGCAGAAACTAACTATAATATAACAAATTTTCATTGTAAAATGTTATTTGAATAGTGTTTACTTGGACAAAAGACAAAAGAAAGTAGATATCGAGATTTATGCGCCGTGAGTTCATCGGCCGCTTAGCTTATTTGGTTAGAACGTCTGAGCGGTTCGAATCCCGCAGCGCCTAGAACAAAAACATATTTTTTGGACACATTTTCTACACAAAATTCACATTTTAAATTTATCTCTAGTACAACGATTAGTATTGATCCTAAAACTGATCATAAATACAAAAATAGTTTAAAAAGTAACGAAAGATGGTTGGCGCAGTCCCTAGACAGACTGTCTAGAGCTGCGCCAACAACTGTGAGTTCTATTACTAACCGGGACAATTCGTTTGAACCACAGTTAGCTGTACCTAATTGGAGTGTATTTTCCTTGTTTGTCTAGTTGAATGTGTCTGTAAGACATAGGTATTTCATAAGGAAAAATTGCCACTACTGTAGTCGACATTTTTAAATCGCCCAATGTTGGACTGCAACATTTCCAACTCACTCTTTAATAGATATTTTTATCGCTAAGCATTGTGCGAGTCATTTATAATATTTTCAGTAGACTTCAAAAATGGAGGAGGTTTTCAATTCGACTGTATTTTTGTATGTTTGTTGCCTCAGAACTTTCGACTGAGTGATGTTGGTCGGTGGTTTGCCTTAAATGTCTCAGCAGTCGGTTTTGAATTCTATCTATATTTAACTATCTTACATATTCGACATGGGCCTTCAAGCTGCTAGCGACACTGCGATCTACGGATACCCATACCATAGATGCGAACGTCAGACAGAGCGCAATGTACGGCGTCCTGCTACATTTTATTACCTCGCGTGATACGAGTCTAAAGCCCGGTTTCTAAAAGACCGACCAACGTATAAATTAATTAATCAGTTGTCAAATAAATGTCATTTGCCAAAACGATGGTTAAGCACTTTGATTTCAAGTCAGTTTGTAAAACAACTGATTAGTTAATTTCTATGTTGATCAGTCTTTCGGAATCCGGGCGGTAGAATCTTTTAGTCTAGCAACTTAAATAATCTCACACTACGATACTGTGGACGAAATCAACATGAAGTACATTACAGGCAATGTAAAAGAAGGTTATGTATGCCGATAATAGGTCAGTGTCCGAGCGAGCGGTCGCTTTTAATCCAATAAACGCGAGCAACCAGAGTACAAATCGGCCTCCTGAATTATGACGTGCTCAGCGGTGAAGGAAATACCGCTAGAATGTTTTCCAAGTAATGTTATCATCATTTCAGCCTGTTTGAGTTCACTGCTGAACATAATCCTCCCCCAAAGAATCACACTGGTACTCCTCTTTACAGAGGAGGCCTTTGCCCAGCAGTGGGTCATTTACAGGTTACTTTACCTTTTATTCAATCGTTCGCAGGTACGGACGCGATCGACATACTGTGCGGTCGGGTGATACCCGTGAAGCTGGGCATCATAGGGGTCGTCAACCGCTCGCAGCAGGACATCATCGATAAGAAGACCATCACGGTACGACGACAATATATTTTTCTACCCTCAGAGAATATCTCTGTTGTGGAGCCACTCGGCTTTAGTCTCAAGAAAAGTTTGGAGACTCGCAAAAACCGGGGAAGTACCGCGGCTGCACTAAAGACAAACCTGAAGTAGAGTAGTGGAGAAGAATAATATATTTTGCATTTCGTATGGCGAGTGAGGTATTTAACACTAAACAGCAACTCTGCCCAGAAAAGACGGCGTGATGTTCTGAGTCCTATTCGTCTGCTATTGCGCGCCGAGCTTTGGGTTCTATTCTTGATCCTCCACAAACATTTTTCCAGAACTTAAGTATGATTTGTATCCGTGATTTCATGTAAGGGACAGTTGGAAGTTTTGGTGTTTTAAGTTTCTCCAAAAAAAAACGGTTCTATGTTTATTCTATTATATCTTATATATATATAGAATTAACTCTATAATACGGCAGAAAAATAATGTTACATCATGACATTTATGGTTCCTTGTATTTACGCAAATCTACATAACGTTAGAGATTATATACATTTCCCTTCCATTCCCTTTAGTTCTGTTTATTTTTACAACCAATCTTTTTATACTGCAACGTTCACAACCTCGTAAATATAATGAAACAATCAAAATTAAAGCCTTAAAACTGTTTATTTTAAAATTAACATTTGTTTTATTTTACATGCCCGTCATAAAATTTTCGTAAAGTTCAGCTCAATAAAATTTTTGATTTTTTAACTGAACTAACTTTTATCTGCTTGATTCTTTTTTTTTTTTTTGCTTTATTTTAGGCAACGGTTCGTATTATTTGTAAAGAAAATCATAGAATAATAATATTAGAACACCGCCATAGCACACAAAGTGTGTACATTAACAATAAATAGTCCAATAATAATATTGCAACACATTTTAAGTTCTTCATAACGCTATAGGAGTTAATGCTCTCAATTGCTGACAATGTCTGCTTTAAAAATAGAAATTTGCGCTCCTTTTTTAATAACTAACTTGCAGTTGTAGTGGTTTTGCGCAAATTAGGCGTTATCTTGCAAATCATAAAGTCTATATTATGACAGAGCAAGAGATACAAAGCCACCATTATTTGTGTGCAGTCGACCTTGAACAATTTCCCGTCATGCACTGGTATCTATTTCACTCTTACTGCCACAGTATCGATGATCTCGTCTTTCATACACTCACTTTAAATGGCTTAACTCAGTAAGTTGCGGTTAATGTACGGTATGAGAATTTACCTTTCACTGTATAACATTTCTTTGTTGCTCATATTAAATCACTTGCGTCTTGCTTCATAATTATAAAGCTAGGAAAATATTGCTCCAAACGAATGGCAAGATAAACCGTACCATTTATTTAACTAGCCGTTTATTTACCGGTTAGGTTTAACTGTAATGTTAAGATATAAAGTTTATAGAATTCGCCGTCTGTCTGCCAAAAACGAGCTGATGTTCGACACGCACTCATGTGTCGTTTTAAAATAATCCCAAATTGTAATGTGTACGAGTGACATAGAAATTGAGACGTTGCTAAAATCGTTGGGGAATAGTCAGCAAATACAATGAAAGTTGTTCTTGTCAAGAACGAGATTTGAATGGGGGAGAGGCTAAATAATAACATTTTTTAATCGTGATATATCTCGATCGCATTTTATGTAAGCCAACTACAAAAGCAATAAAAAGTGAAAGTGTTTTACTTCGGCATTTCTGCAACCCTAAGGTAGTTGCTAATGAACATGGGCGGTTATCACTTAACATCCACTGCCACCTTCTCACATAAAAAAATCCCAAGTAACATCGGTGTTTCAATTCTAGCAGGGTTACTTTGTAGTATTTACGCGATTAGACATTACTAAATGAATATATGTTTAAGGATTTATCGCGTTTATTTTTGGTTTTAATTCCCGACGTTTCGAACCCTCTACGGCGTTCATGGTCATGGGACGGAACATGAAAAATAAACGCGATAAAACCGTTAACATAGTTTCATTTAGTAGAGTTATTTTTTTACTTTTTTTAGAATGTTCATTTTGTGACCATTATTTATTTATACAATACAATGCACCGTACAAACCCGATACGTGAGACAAAATTATATTGTGTTAAACACATCTACAATTATGCGACCCGGTAGCCTTGGCTTGGTCTTGAAAACAATAATACTAGAAAAAACACGGCGAAGACACCGTTTCATGCATGCGAAAAGAAACGCGTTCAAAAGTCTCTGATAAACAGCGTGTCTGCTGCTGTGTTCATTTATTGACGCGATTGTAAGCGTCAATAAATGAACACACATATAGAGGATAACTTTTTAAAATTGTATTAAAAATTTACATTTCTTTAAACATCAATATTTACCGAGTTATAAAATTTTCCAATACAAAGAATTTTAAAAAACCCTATGTATAAAACTGTAACGTAAAGTTCATTTGTAAAGGTCACAATGGGATGAATGAATTTAAAAGAGAGAAAACATACTGTTAGAAGGAGAGGCTTGTAATGAGACGTTGTGGCAACGAATGAAAAAGTCTCTGAATGTATGAATCAGTCAGAATAATTTAATCTTGGAAACCAACTTTTTGACATTTACTAATAATTCCAAGTTATTTAAAAACTATGCATTTAATGTATTTGAGCTAAAGAAGTATAACATCTTACGGGCGTACATACACAAACATACATACTTTTTTTTCGTTATACCTTACTGTATGTACCTATGTATATGTAGGTGTTTACGTTTTCAAATAAACATCGCACACACAATACATATACACCGAAGCTGTTAGCATCGCATTGTTTTGATTTCATTCGTGCTTTATTTCCTCAGGACGCGCTAAAAGACGAGGCGACGTATTTGCAGCGGAAGTACCCCACAATAGCGACCAGAAACGGGACCCCCTATTTGGCGAAGACCCTCAACAGGCTACTGATGCACCATATAAGAGACTGCCTACCGGAGCTCAAGGTGCGTGCCTCTATAAAGCTCTATTTAGACTGGTCAAGTGTGTAGTACAGTACAAAATTAAAAAAAATGTAGTAAAAGAACGTTTGTGGGTTAAAGGCATTAATTATAATATTGCCAAGAATCGCTATTCTTTTAAAAGCAAAGTTCGTGAGCGCATGCTTAAACAACTGTCAGCAGAAGCAGTTCATTGTTAATATTTTTTTTTGATGACTGGTAGAGAATGCCACTGGCATTAAGTCCGTCTTTGTACAGTGTGTGCATGAAGATTAAATAAATAAAAATAAATAAATATTAATGATTATTTAAATGATTACACACTGGTAATGAATTGACCAGGCTCTTTCAATCGAAGTTCTTATATTGTATTTGTAATGAATTCATGTCAAACTGTTTATTTAAAAAAAAAGCCCGCTGAGTTTCTTTCGCCGGTTCTTCTCAGTTCAGTGGCTTTCATTTCCGAACCGGTGGTTAAATGTTGACTATCAATAAGCGAGTATAATAAAGATATTTGATTTTGATTTTTGATTTTGAGTCAAGTACAGTAGTGATGGAAATCAGGAACGGAGGAATTATCTTCTTAACGATCAGAATGATTAATTTAAAGAGTTATACCATCCTTTTGGCAACTCAAATGCTATTTGAAAAGCCATTTGACAGCTGATTAGTTAACATCTACGATGATCAGTGTTTCAGAAACTGGGCGTCAATGTTTTATGACATACTTCATGCACGTGTTGTTCACAAACCCAAACGCCATCACGGGATGTGTTTCGCAGTTTGCAGAAACTTATACGCATAAATATTAACATTTTGCGCGCCCCACAAACACTACATAAAAAAATTGTTCAAAACAGGTGCGCGTCAACGTGATGATATCGCAGTTCCAATCCCTGCTCAACTCTTACGGGGAGGACGTGTCCGACAAGTCGCAAACCCTCCTGCAAATCATCACGAAGTTCGCGAGCGCATACTGCTCCACCATCGAGGGCACAGCCAGGAACATCGAGACCACGGAACTGTGCGGTGGCGCGAGGATATGCTACATATTCCACGAGACCTTCGGCAGGACATTGGACTCCATACATCCTCTTGTTGGTGAGTTGTTTTTTAATGTTAAACTGCAAGCGAGCTAGCTGGCCGTTCACCTGATGTTAAGTGATGACCAACGCATGATATTTGCAATACCCGTAAGGTTACAAATGCGTACACCAATCACTCACCAGACGAAACGCAGAAGTATATCGTCGGTCTTCTGTGAGGTTGGTTACTTGCCCGAACAGACCTGTGCATTCGTGCAACACCGAAGACTTCTGCGTGGCCCTACCACAGTAAGAGTGGTAAAGTGGCAACTTGGACCCCCATGCAATTTGAATCTGTAAAAGACCACAACAATGACAAATCCATTATGTGAACTAATGTTAAGATAAGAAATATATGACGGGATGAAATTTGTAAATAACTAGGAATTCCATCCTGTTATTTTAAACATTTTAAAGGACAAACTGTTAACTATAACAACTCAGTCCTATCTATCCTATAAGTGCGGATAAATTATAATTCTATAATTATTATATTCCCTAAAATTAATAAACAAGAAAATTAACCTTTACGTTAATGATTAAATTCCAGGTCTCACCAGGATGGACATTCTGACCGCAATCCGCAATGCAACTGGCCCGAGGCCCGCTCTGTTTGTGCCCGAGGTTTCGTTCGAATTGCTTGTCAAGAGACAAATAAGGAGGCTCGAAGATCCCTCGCTCCGTTGTGTCGAATTGGTAAACTGTTCACTATACTCACTAGATGAGTGATTACTCTGTATAGTATGTTCTTCTACTAGATAATGCTTTATATTAGACAGCCACGGTTTAAATTTGTAGATTGATAGTAAAATATAGACGAAACCACGTCTTCCGGATTCGCATCCAGATGCTTTAACCATTTCACATATTGTTTTACAACAATTATAATTGTAACAAGATATGTCGCGATAAAGGATATAACAATAGATGCGCCGAGCATTGCTTAAATGATATTTAGCTCAGTGGTTAAAGCATATGGACACGAATCCGGAACACGTGGGGTCGATTCCTGTAACGGCCAAACAGTTCGTCCAATTTCTACAAATTTTAATGATTCTTATTATAATATAGATTATTATGTGTCCTAATTGTTGATGTATGTCTTATGCTTGTCCATTTATTTATGCGAGTTGATGGCAAGCGATCTGGCGGTTCACCTGATATTAAATGATAACCGCCGCCAATGGACATTTCCCACACCCGTAGGTTTACCGATGCGTTGCCAACTTTTAATAAAGTGGGCCGCGGCTACCTCACTCATCAGACGAAACGCAAAAATATTACACTTCCACTTCACGCCGATCTTCTGTGAGGTAGTGGCACTCAATCGAACGGACCTGCCCATTTGTCCAACAGCCGAAGCTGTCGCGCAGCCCTAACTATAGTTTTCAAGTGATGCGTGTCTCTAATGTGATTTACGCCCAGTATCAATAATTTGTGTATTTGGTTAATTTTGACATAGATACTATGGTGCTAATGTCTAATATCTATCGCTAGTAACCAAAACTACAGATAGATAGAATAATTATTGAAACCTGATGATGACTCCGTGGCGCAGTCGCCAAGGTATCGGCTTCGGCGTCTGGGGTCGTGGGTTCGATTCCCACACGGGACAACTATTTGTCTGACCCACAGATAGTTGTTTCGCATCTGGGTGTTTGTCCGTGTGAAATGTATGTTTGTAAAACGTTCTTACAATACAGGATAATGTTATCCTAAAGTAAGGGCAATGTTTTTTAAAAAAAAAAAAAAAAAAGAAGCCGACCGTTAGTCTTTTTACCTTTTAGCTTACTTTTTTTTCGGCCGGTTTCTACATTCTATCTATAGATAGATTTGTTTACTAGCGATAGGTATTTAAAATTAGCACCATAGTATCTATGCCAAAATTTTATCTCCGTTAACCAAATCCACAGATAGATAGAATATTGAGACGGGCCGTAAATCACATTGGGGACACGCAAAAAGGTTTTCGCCGCAGATAGATTTACTAGCGATAGGCGAAAGCCGTGATAGCTCAGTGTCCGGGCGCTCGCCTTTAATTCAATATACTCGAGCAACCTGATTTCGATCCCCGGTGCCGGCACCAATGAAGTTATTAACTTTAAGTGCTGACTTATCACGTGCTCCGCGGTGAAGGAAAACATCGTGAGGAGACAGACCTGCATATTTTGGAAATAATAACAAAAAAAATATATTTTTCGTAAATATGTGAAGTCCGCCAATCCGCAGTGGGGCCGCGTGGTGGACTATGCCCTGATACCCTATGTATAGAGGAGGCCTTTGCCCAGCAGTGGGACATGAATAGGCTGTTACTTTACTTTTTACTTACCTTACTAGCGATAGATATTTGACATTAGCCCCATAATACTCAGGCCAACATTCGATCTCCAGTAGCCAAATCTGACCATGGTTAGTAACGTCCGCCCCTCTGCAGGTGCACGAGGAGATGCAGCGCATCGTGCAGCACTGCGGCACGGAGGTGCAGCAGGAGATGCTGCGCTTCCCGCGCCTGCACCAGCGCATCGTGGACGTGGTCACCCAGCTGCTGCGCACCCGTCTGCCGGCCACCAACTCCATGGTACGCTCGTATGGAATACATTCCAGTTTGATATATATATTTTTTACATAAAAATTTATACATAAGTTCGTAAGTAGGGTCGTTAGTGCCGCCGCTTCCGAAGGCAATTTTTGTTGAGAAGAGATCGGAAAGACACTCAACATTTGCTCTTTTTAAATATATCAGTTTACGATATAGTACTCTTATTTTAGCCTACATGAGTATCAATCAACAGTATTAACTTCACACATTGGCGTCGACGAGATATGTATTCCGCAGTAGTATAATATGCTTTAACCATAACTTTATTTTTTGTTTTACTTTTGAATTGATCAAGTAGCAGACTTAATATCGACTGTGGGATTTTATTATACATGCACACACTTTGCCCCATAACGACCTATTTATCTTTTCTAGACGAAACAGTGGCTTAGTTAGTATGTTCTTATTTCTAGTGTTTTTAATTTATGTCTGTCACTATTCTTTAGGTAATAATTAAGTTTATATACGTGTTACGTAGAACATACGAAATATTACAATAAATGTATTATAATTATATACGTGTTAACGCCACGCAACATTCCATCAACTCCATGGTACGCTCGCATATTACCGCGATGGTAATATGCTAGCGGTCTTCTCTGTTACTCGAATGGGCAGATCCGACCGGGAAAATGCAATTGCCTCGCAGTAGACCGCCGATAAATGGAAGTGTTACACTTCTGCGTTTCGTCTGGGGAGCGAGGTACCCGGGGCCCGCTTTATTGAAAGGTGACAACTCATCTCCTACCCTACGGATGTCGCAAATGTCCATGGGCGGCGGTTATTACTTAACATCAGGTGAAACGATAGCCCGCTTGCCACCTCCTCATATAAAAAAAACACATGCGTACGTGCATTTTTGTTTATATTCTAAATGCAAGGGTTTGGGTAGTAAGGCCAAACGACCACTGCGGCCAGGAACATATATTGTTGTATTCCCTTCGAAAATTTTGCCCCATACTGTAGGATAACATTATGTGTTTTACGGACGTTTTATATACACATATGTAATTTATGTATGTAAAATGTCCGTACACACATAATGTTACACATAAAGAAAGCATACCCAGATCTGAAACAATTATTATCTGTGGGTCACACTAATAGTTGTCTCGTGTGGGAATCGAACCCACGACCCCAGCACCGAAGCCAATACCTTGGCAACTGTGCCACGAAGTAAGTGCATAATTATATGTCATCATTTGAAATGGCCTCCACAGGAAAAGTGTATCTCAAATTTAATGGGTTATTATGCAAGAGTGGATTGGAAAGGTTGTCTTTGAGGTACTGATTAGGCTTTTAGTATTCCATTTTTAGTTAGTTTAAAGTTAGTAATGGTCAATTGGTCACCCAACTCCTCGATTTTTGGCCCTGCAGAGATGCAGCAAATCAACGCACAGACATTTATCATATTTATTATGGGAAATGGACTTTCTTAAAGGTTGGTAATGTATTTATAAGTCTACTACTATTTGTGTTGTGTCTGTGAATAGCAGTAGTCACTTAATATTGGTTAAGCAGCATCCTCATTTCAACATTTGCTCCTGTAACAGGTGGAAAACCTGGTCGCCATCGAGCTCGCCTACATAAACACGAAGCACCCCGACTTTCATCGGGAAGCCGCTTTGGTCTCTGGTCTTCTGAAGAGCACCGATGGTCTCATAGAAGACCACAGCCCGGTCTACCGACAGAAGACTCCTCGGCCGACATCAACACCGGTATCATCAATGTTCAAAGTATATATTTAATTTTCGATTACTCTTTCACTTCTCATGGGACAGGAACTAACAATGACTAACATAAGGTAAGTACATACTACCAATGATACGAAATATTGAGCAAAATTAAAGAACTTGTTAAAGGACATCTGTTTTTTCTGCACGTACTTATAGAACCTTCAAGTGGTTTAAATTTTTTTTTTATTATATTTCATTGCATCATTAAAGTTACATTCATTTACATTACACATATAACCTTAACCAACATTTATTAACTGTCTCTTTTAGCAATGTCATGAAATCCTAATCAACTTTTTTTTTTCGACAATTAATGTGTACCCATTTTTTATGTCATTACAGAAGATGTTAAACGAAATATTTTAAGTGGTATACCAATGATAAAATTAGTTAATAGTTAATTATTTTAGCAACACAATTGTATTTGCTTATCATATTTAAAAAATGGAAATGTAAAAGGTCAAATAAAGATGAAAATTGTTTTGTAGCAAATCCTTCGTCAAATGGGTGAAAGAGGGTCCATCTTGGTATACTTGCTAAATGTATGGGATGCACACAATCGGGTGCAGGTAAATACCATGCGGTAGTGATGTGTTAGAGTTCATTGCAGTGTTTTATTATTTGCTAATTTTTTTCACACATTGGGCCCTATGCAAGGAAATTATACGTCTCCCGCATTTTGCTGAATCAGTAACTGAAAATAGCATTTCATTTGTAAAAAAAATCACAAGGCCTATTCAACCAAATATCATATGGACTCTCAGTCACCCAGCCTTTGGATGAAATAAAATCGCATATCATTTAAAATAATATTTTGTGGCATGCCATTGTTTTTGATCCCATATACATATATTAACGTCTTTGTTTCACACAATAAATGGCATGTTACTCAAACAAAAACGTAAACACTACCATATTATTACAATTTAAAACATGACGCAGTTAGTAAAAAACTCGTTTTTTAAATATTATTTCTTATATTATTGTAATAAAGATTAAGTTAGTAATTATTAACAAACATTTTTTTTAATGTTACTCACATAAGTAATACTTTCTATTTGGTCCATTTTATTCTAAGTAAAGAAACAAATTTGACTTACAGCATGTGCCAGCTATCACGGATGGGCAAGATAACAAGTCGCCACCACAAACAAATAACAGTGAATCACCCATGGGCTTACAGGTAGGAATAATTAAACACAAAAACAAAATACAATTCTTTATAAAATAAATAAACTTTAGTGCTTTGAAGAAAAGATTGCAAAGCATATTTTTGAATTCATGGTACATTACTTTTAGTTTGTTTGTTGAACATTGCTATGTAACTATTCTAAACTTTTGAAATGAAAACTTCTTTAGGCATGTAGAGCACATTTTGGGTGAATAAAATCATAGAATTCGCGTCATCGTTACACTTTCATTGAGATTTATAAAAGGAACTCGTAAAAATATATTTGTGTTTGTTATTATCGTTTTGAGTGCCTATAAAACATGTAGAAATGAATATTATACAAGTTTAATGTTGATAATTGTTTTATGTTTTGACTTCTGTCCGCAGTGACCATTAGATTGCCTATGTTTTTTTTAATCTAATCTAGCTTCCAACTTCATTGGCTTTATAACAAAACGTAAAGGATATATTGTAAAAATGATACCTTTATATAGTTTTAATGCAATCTACATGATATATGTGGTATATAGAAAATGTTTGATTTTGTTTTAGTTCAATGGATCTCCAGAAAATAAAGTACTCACACCACAAAAACCAGTCAATTTGCTGCCTGAGGTGCCGAATCAAACTTCTAGGAAGCTTTCTGACCGCGAACAACACGACTGTGATGTTATCGGTAAGATATTGCTTTGTAGTTAAATATAGGAATTGGACATGAGAAAGTATGTCTGAGTTAAAAATAGCTAGAAATATTACTCATACTAACAAATGTGTTGCTCTGTGCAACACTCTTCTTCCATGTTTATTATTTTTTTTAATTAATCAATGTTTTGGCTTGTCTAATGCATTTAATAATATGCTAAAATTAAAAATACATTTTTATTAATGTAAAAGCTTTTCATGTGAAAACATGGATGGGTTCTGAGAATATTTCTTACTTTTTAATATAGTGAAGTATTTTTATTTTAAGACTGAAATGCTTATAAATTCTAATTTTTATGTGTTGATATTCACAAGTATAAATAGATATGGTTCCCAAATCTGCCAACTTACTAAGGCAAATGTCAATTTTAATATTTCATTTAGTTGTTGATTTATCTAATTGCAAAAGGGAATATTTATTTTACACATTTTTACATATTTAAAGACATATGTGTTTAACTAGCATGAAAAGTGTACTGTACCATTATTAAATTATTTTTCATTGTGATGCTAGGTGGACGGAGCGACCACACGACAAAACAAAATTCTAACGAAAAGATATTACAAGGCATCATCATGATGCATTTGAACCAAATGGGTGATTTAGTTGGTGAGGATTGCATTAGAAGCGATGCGGATTTGCTTAACTCATGGCTCACCTATAAGTTTCCGACCACCTCTCATCAAACTTACTCTTTTGCTTACCGCTTCCAAAGATATATCTTGATTATAATTGCATGCCCTATTTGTGTATGTGTTTAATGTTGTGATATGTTTTTGTGTACAATTTTAACTTTATTTGATTGTTTATAACATATAGTAATCACTTTTACATAATATCTCAACAATTTTTAATAGTTCTGTTAACCCAACTGACTTATTTTTCTTTTAACACACAGCATAGACAATTTTATTTTTACATTCAATCGTGATTGCACATATTAGCACTTGTAAATATTAATGGGAACCTTACGTATTGTCCAGACCGTTTGCTAATATTTTATATTGTTCTATTCACAGAGCGATTGATCAAGTCTTACTTCTATATTGTTCGCAAGTCCATACAAGATTCAGTGCCGAAGGCTGTTATGCACTTCCTTGTGAATTATGTGAAGGACAATCTACAGTCCGAGCTGGTGACCCACTTATATAAGTCTGACCAAGCGGAGAGCCTCCTGAATGAGTCCGAACATATTGCGCAGAGGAGAAAGGAGGCTGCCGATATGCTCAAGGTAACTTTCTTTTTTAAATATTTAGGACACATTTTTACACATAATTGTCTAGTCTTAAACTGAGCAACGCTTGTACTATGGGTACTAGATAACTGATAAACATACTTTACTTTTATATTGACTTCTTGATTTTACGCGAATATTATGTTTATTAAATGAACTTTACTTTTCTTTTGTAAACAATTAACGTATTATACATATATAAATAGCCAGACACCAGGAAAACTATGTTCATCACACAATATTTTTCCGATAGTGGGTAACGAAACCAGACCCTCTGGCGCAAGAGGCATGTTCACTACTCTTCTACGATGAATCCTCACGTGTACTACATTACAATAAATGAAATAATAAAATAAGATGTTATTTCAAATACTTGGTTATATTTCTGATTTAAGGATTAAAGAGTTTTTTTTACAATTGTGACATTAATACTAGTAAAGTAATACTAACTAATGGTGTAAATAAGGTCATATTTGTATTCAACTCAGAACTTGCATTGTCAATTTGTTTACTACAAGTATGCAGATATGACGGCAATAGGATAATCCCATTGAAAATTGCAAAACTACAATAAAACAGTGGGCTACGCATTTAAATCGAACTATTAATTAATATCAATAACATTTTCTCATTTCAGGCGCTCCAAAGGGCTGGTCAGATCATAAGCGAGATACGGGAAACACACATGTGGTGATATTCAGATGAAGACTAGTCTGTGAATTAGTTAATTTGAGCCAACTGCTCTGTACATACTCCCTCTTAGGAATTATGTGCATTAGAATTTTTTTTTTAATAAATACTGTATCCTGTAGGTTCTCGCATAACCACGGCTAGGACCTTATGTTTTTGTCTCTGTCAAAGTTCCGTTCAGCGGCAGTGTATGTCAGACTCTCTTATAGTTTAATCAAGTTTTTTTTTATATAATTTGTGGATCATCTTGTGTAATTCCTTTTGCATTTTCATGTCGTTTTATATTTACACGCTGGGCGGAGTCGTAATAGCAGTGTTTCATACTAATATTAAGAGGATATAATGAATTTGTTTCGAGGTTATAATATTTTTCTTTAATTGTTGTAACAATGACGATTGCTACGAGCCGTTATGTCGTATTTTTAGTTGAAATACATTTGCTGTTCCCACTGCTATTTACTCATGACACTGTTTACACGATTTTAGCGAAACGCACCTTTGATTTTCTCTTTAGTAATGGCAGAAGTGTAGAGCCAAATGTATGGTTGTTGTAAATCAACTGATACCTATCGTTTTTATATCGGTTATTTTTAACAGAAGTTGAAAATCAACAAGCGTGAATGTTTGTTGAAGGGTCATTATGTAGTCATTTATTTATATTTCTTAATTATGTGCTTATTTTTATCCAATACCAAATTCGTCATTTACGCGCGTAGCACGATTGATTTAATAGATGAGTATACATAATGTTCATGAAATCTAACGTCGTAATGTGTTTTAATAAATCATGTCGACCTCTCACGATGGATAACTAGTGTTAAATGATATCTGAAGCCACAAAATACTTGGAAGTCTTTGTCGGCTGTGTTTTTGTTTTTAGCTTAATGTAGCCTATGCAGTTGATAGATTAGAAATAACTATTAGTTGCGCACACGCCGCTTCATTCAGTTACCGTTGGATTATTTTAAACGCGTAAGTTAACTAATAACGCAATGTAAGCTCTTAGTTTTGTAAACCAGTGATATTACTCCTCCATTCTGATAGTTGGTCGATTGTTGATTGTACTTATACGGCCGGTTTCAATATTCAATCTACAGATAGATTTGGACACTAGCGATAGGTATTTGACATTAGCACCATGATACTTACGTCACAATTCTATCTCTAGTAGCAGCTATCTGCCGATAGAATATTGTAACAGGCCGTTAAACGAATGCTTTTTCGTGGTATACAGGGCTGTATAGATGAGACGCGTGTTTAACATTGCCCATTTAGATAGACTGTTTGTTGTCGCGGTAAGTTTTAACGTATGCTTATTTATATGTATATGTACACGATATATCTGTATAATAGTTCCTCAAATTCTCGTGTAAAATGTACGCCTGCTTTGCAAATTTGAAATTTGTCAGCGCACGGTGATGATAAATTTTATACAATAGTTCGCTTTGAGTTTGAAACCGTGGGGTGATTTCGCTATGCCTTCGTCGTCTGTGTTGTCGCAAGTAATACGAATATTATACATGGTTTAGTTAAACTATTTTACCGCGTTATAATTTAATTTAAAATCTTCAACGTTTCGAACCCTTTCCAGCTCTCATGGTTACTACGAAGGCAGACTGTGTTGTTTCACGTCCTAGCGTCAGTGTTAACGTTGGGACGTGCCAATGAGTACGCGACAAAATCCGTAATTAGTACCTATATTTAACCATAGTACAACAGATTTGATAATGACGAAGTCGATTTTGTTTGTTTCTTAAAAGACTACCTCCACAATCTTTACCTTCATAATCCACATCAGATGAAACACGAACATGGTGTTGTTAGATATTTGCGATGACGAATTTACTTTGAGCTAAGGTAAACTAGTAGGTAGTTCTATACATGTCAAGTAATTATTGCTGCCCATGTACCCTCAAATCGACAACCCTAAGGACCAAAAAGGTCGAATACCTCTGATAAGCGAAACGCGACAGCATAGATACTTGTACCTTTCGCCATCTTTCCTAAGCAATAATACGCAGTTAATGTTATCGATATCGGGCAGTGATTTGAATGCCTCTAAGAAAGCTGAAAGTTCCCCCGCGGCTTTAGATTCTATAATTTGAACATTGTTTAATGTCACTGTAGACGTAGTAAGTATTCCAAAGTGTATTTGTTGTTGTGCTCAGAGATGCGCATAAAGTGCGCGTAACTTCGTTAGAATGTATTAAAAAGTCTGTTATATTGAAATAGAATTATTTGTCATGGTGTGTGTGTTTCTTTAAATATTCCCTCCCTATATTTTGCTATCTGAAAGTGTAAGGGTGAGAGAAGCAACGCGCGACTTTTCCACAAGAGTGCACAGATCGCCATAAAAAATAACCAAAAAAATATGTTTTGTACCAAAAACGATTGACTTTTTTTGTTTTTTTTTTTTATGTGAAATGTTGCCAAGCGAGCAGGCGGTTCACCTGATGTAAAGTAAATACCGCCGCCCATGGACATCTGCTACACCCGAGGGTTGTTGAGGCGTTGACAACCTTTTGAAAAGCTCCGGCTACCTCACTCACCAGACGAAACGCAAAACACGGTCTTCTGTGAGGTCTAGTACTAACCCGGACGAGCCTGCTTATTCGTGCAACAGTCGAGGCTACTGCTTGGCCCTACGGCATTATATGAACAAACTTGTAGAGGGAGCAAGAGAAAAAAGGATTTTGAGAAAGCGGAGGGCCCGCGGAACCGCACAGAGAACTAAGTATTTGTTGCGCAATACTTCAAACATTAAAATTACCTAAACAAAATTTGTGCATTTCCATCCGGGTCTATGTGTTCCTTTTTTATTCAAACAATTCTGTTGCTTATTTACTTCTCAAAACTAACAGGTTTGTAGACGTACAAATTAATGCCAAAAACGGAAACTCCATCGGCGTATAAACAGATTCGAACCTACGACCATAAAGTACACATTACATCCTTACTAATATTATAAAGGCGAAAGTTTGTATGTATGGATGGATGTTTGTTACTCTTTCACGCAAATACTACTGAATGGATTTTAATGAAACTGCAATAATATAGCTTATACAACAGAATAAGACATGGGCTATAATTTATATACATATTTTATGTATATATCTGTCTTTGTCTGAATGTTACGCTTTCAGTCTATTCTACGCAGACGTAGTCGCGGGCAGCAGCTAGTATAGTATATTACATTAACAAAGCTGACCCTACAAATAATCCGAACAATTATACAAATATAACAAGCGTAAGTGAAAATGTATTGCCTGTTTTAAGACAAACAGATTGATCTCGCTTCGAAAGTGAGACTTATCAAAGAAGAATATCTCACAGGGGTAATATCTCACATCTAGATAAAGCATTCACCGTTTAGCGTAGTGGTTAAAGCGTCTGGGCGCGAATTCCAAACACGTGGGTTCGATACCCACAGCGACGAAAAACTTCGTACTTTTTTCTACAAATTTTAATGTTTCATCTTAAGTGCAGAGCAGCAGAGAGTTAGCACTATAAAAATTTTAATTTCTATTAGCAATGGTGACATCTCAGGTTCGAATTATCGTTGTATAACGATATTCGAAATAATTGTATGCTGTAAATCCTTTACAGCATAGATTCAATTATGACAATGGATGCGCCACATTGCTTGAAATGCGAAAAAAAAATACAACGTAGATAAAAGACGACGAGGTTTTCGTCGGTGTGGCATTTGACCGTTTAGCTTAGTGGTTAAAGCGTCTGACCGCGAATCCTTAAGACGTGGTTTCGATTCCCACAGCGGTGTCGAACTTATCGTACTTTTTCAACACATTTTAACGTTCTTACTAATATATATAGCCGTGATAGCTCAGTGTCCGGGCGCTCGCCTTTAATTCAATATACTCGAGCAACCTGAGTTCGATCCCCGGTGCCGGCACCAATGAAGTTTTTAACTTTAAGTGCTGACTTATCACGTGCTCCGCGGTGAAGGAAAACATCGTGAGGAAACCTATTTAATTAATTAAATAAGTATTTGAAAATTGTTATATGTGTGTATTTCAATCAGTCACTAAACCCTCTGTATATAAAATCTGTATCCTAGTGAACTAATTAAAACTAATGTTGTTATTTTCAATCAGTCACTAAATAATAAAATCTGTATCCTAGTGAACTAAAACTGGTTAAACTTTAAAAAGGCGCCATTGAAGATTTTATTATATATTTTTTTTTGCTTTAGAGCGTCCCTTGATATCTCGTGCATAGAGCCAAAGCTCCTCTTACTCTACTCTTAGTCCGGCGCTTTATACACTATCTATTCCTATTCTTTAAAAGTAATGAATGTATGATGTTAGAGGCATTACATCACAAAGGTAAAAAAGAATAAGTTTTGGTGTACTACAAGGTACCATCCTTGTACCGGCTCTGTTTCTCTTATGCGTTATCGATAACATCTGTAATAAAAAGCTCTTTTTTTTGTATAGTGCTTATCATCAGTTTATATTTTTAGATGTCTTATGTTCTTGGATTAGCACATAACTTATAGTAGATTTATTCGTTTGTAAGCCGACCGCAATGATAGTAGTATATGCCTATGTTGGTATGCATCAATTTTTAAAAAGAGAGCAAGTATTCATTTGGAATTTCTAAACTACATATTAAGTACATAACCAAAATACTAATTACTAATATTATTCATTTAAAAGCATTGACTTCCGTTATAGCATCCTATGCATAATGTCGAAGCAATGTATTCTGCTTTTATGACAGAGCGTTTATCTCTCATCCTGGTCTAAAGTTTGTAGAAGAGCAGGAAGAACGTGGTTCTGTAAGAATATTTTGACTGCATACACGGATAAAACTGAATTTATTTGCTTCCTCAAAACCTGGTCCTTGGCTCTGACCGAAAGAAGAATCTGACCTATTAGATGATAGTCCACCACGCGACCCCACTGCGGATTGGCGGACCTTTCATATTTACTTCGCTGGCTCAGCGACCCAACGAGGATCTTGACACTAAAAGACGCCACTGCTCTATTTCGGGCTGTTTCTTGCCAATTGGAGGGCCCTAGATCTTTGTGGACTTCAACTTTCCAGCGATATCTTGGGTGATCATCAGGACGCTTCCCCTTTGGTTGCCCCATATGATTATGCTCTCTTAACGGCACGAAGTCGCGGCCTTCGTTTAGCCGATTAGCCGTTGTTGGGTTCAGACAACAAGTTGTTCTATTTCTCTATTTTTCCTCATTCTCCATTACAGTCTGTAGGTGGACAACTCAGTAGTTGTTTAAAGAATGGATGCCACTCCTTCAGCTCTTCCTATTACATGCCTCGTTTCTCGTTCTAAAGTTAGCGTTTTTGGCTGGTATCTTTTTTTAATAGTAGGTATTTACTTCTCGGTAGCATAATTATCCATAATTATTCTTCCACTATACATATCTTATAGTCCACTACACATATCTTCGAAATATATTTATTTGTTATTATTTCAAAAATATGCAGATTTCCTCACGATCCTTCGCCGCTGAGCACGTCAGCACATAAAATAACAATTCCATCGGTGCCGGCGCCGTCGAGATTTGAACTCAGGTTAGTGGAATTTATTAAATTAAAAGCGACTGTCCGTTTTCAACTTCCAATATATCGCGAATATAATACTTCAATAAAGACTGCTACATAGGATAATTATAATCAATAATGATGACGTTAAATGCTTAACTCGATTTATCATCGACAAAATTTTAATTTGTTCACACAAAACAAGTTCTAAGAGTAGTGTTATTATAACAACCTATTCTCAAACAACGATAGGTTTGTTGTATTCTGCGTATGTTCAAACAAGAGCATTTTATAGCATGTTATTATCATATTTACTATATTTCTAGAAAAAAATCAAGATTACGCAATTCAACACAAATTACTGTACTTTTTAACCGCCTTCAAAAAAGAAGGCGGTGTCTCAATTCGACCGTATATATATTTTTATGTGTGTTCGCGGATAACTTCGTCGTTTATGAACGGATTTTGCTGCTTCTCTTTTGTTGGAAAGAAAATATCCCAAGGGTGGTACCATGATAAACCCGGATCTTATGATGGCATCCCAGTGAAAATAGAAATCGAGGGCAGTCTTCAAATGTTATTAATTATCTTGCCTTCTGGCTGACAATTATAGTAAGTCTTATTACAGTTGTCTTATGGCGAGTGGGTGGGCAACCACAATTTTTCTAGAAACCTTTAACGCTTGTGCCAGTTATTGGCCTGAGTATTTAAGGTCTGGAGAGTCGAGATGCTTATCCCGTCATCTATCGGAAACCACCAGATGCTTGTGGCTTATCACTTAGGTGCCGCTTACAACTCCCACAGGATGAGACGGTATGGCTTATTCATACAAAACACGGCTTTTGTTAGAAGCATATTTTCAAATATCATTGCGAAACCATAAAATGCAGGTTCGATTCCCGCTGCGCGCCGAAAGTTTTAGTTCATTTGTCTACAAAAATTTACAATTTAAAATCAATTCGGTCCATTTAATCCAACTTTTGATAAGAAAAATAATCAAATATTTTGTACCGCTAGTCACTGTTTATCACCTATTATCTAAGAGAGTTTTTATGTTACATAACGATAATTGGCAACACGTGAAAGCCTCCTGTCAACCTTGCAAAGGAGCTTTCAAATTAATGCATATACGATACATACATGCAAAAGAAAATATCAAAAACAAAAACGTGAAATAAAAGTGCTAAAGATGTTATGGTTTACAAGGCCCCCCTGCGCTTCCACCTTTTCTAATCCAGTCCATTAACTGGATAAAAGCCAAAGATCGATGTGAGTTGTACATACAACTCACATCGATCGTTGGCTTTTACACCCAAACTTTATAGAGCCACAGATAGACAGACGCATAATTAGACACATACCTATAAAAGATACAATGACATATATTTACTTATAAAAAAATATTTGAAAGTAAAATGCAGTAGGTATACGAAAGCAGCCTACTGAATGCGAAATAACTTTTTCGCCCTACAGAATTAGGATACGTTACCACAACCAACTAAAGCAAGATACTAGTAACAAAATTTTGTAACCAATAAGGATTGTTTATACATAATACAATTCCCAATATTAACAGAGTTTAATATTATATACATGAGATCGTCAGTCAATATAAATTAGTTAGTATCAGATTGAATTTAACATATTAAAAGAAAAAGCACATGAAAACAAAACATCAACAACCACGAGCGACTATGATCTGCATTTTTAAATGTTAATAGTGCTAATCTCTGCACTTTTGGAATCAGCAAGATATGGGTTCGATTCCCGTAGCGGCGAAAAACTTTTGGTGCATTTTTTCTACAAATTTAAAAGTCTCATAATATATTCATAGTATCTACACGATCTGTATAGCTCCCGTCTAAATATTCAATGTAAAAGAAACTGTCGAATCCAACTGACCCATTCTCGGTCCAACACTGAATGAAGTGCTAATAAATGTTAAACGAATCATAAACATCTACGACAACTTTGAATTGTTATATCGTACGAGTATGCAAGTTGTCAATTATACGTAATTGCTTAACTCACCAGACGACAACTTATCGTCCCCCATGAACCGCATAAAGAATGTGATAACAAGAACGTACACAATCTCCCTCCGTTAGTATTTTTGAACAGAACACAACCAAAGCAAGCTTAGTCATGTTCGCGTCACAAGGCTACAGCCGATGTAGCCTTGTGACGCGAAATATTCGGAGTTGTTACGCCTACAAGTGAATCAAAAGCCGCCCCGCCCACGGCAAAAACTTGAGGCTTCGCTTATAAGATCACTTTATTTTACGTTAGCGTCCTTACTGTGCACTGGAATTGCAATTTTAATTATCCTTTTACGGGCTTAATTTGATCTGAATTATATATAAATTGTCCTCTGCCTGGACTCTGTTTATGACTATCCAAGCGAACAGTAGCATATATAAACGAACCCTTATAACACTTTTTCGATACTGAAAAAGAAATCATGTAAAACGGAGCAGTCACTCTCCAGTTATAACTGCACTAAAAAAAGACAGACAGACGGGGAGAATTTGTTTTGTACTAACACGTATGGATATGGAAGCTACGGACGACTTTATCCCCTTCTTCCGTTAAATGATTGAACAGCTCCACCGACGCGTAATTACGTAATTTGTACATAGTTTGCTCTTCGAATATTGTAACTCTATTTGGTGGTATTATATTCATTCCTCAACCACCGTAGGTATTTACTCTCATCCAGTTGGCAACTTTGTCTTTTCCGCGGCATCGGCGTCTCTCTGAAGCTTCGCATTTACCAAAAGCGGAAAGAATCCAACATAGACAAAGACAGAGAATAGTATTATAGCTTTCGCGCGCATTTCTGCCGCCTCCCATTGCACTCGCGCGCCGCCTCACTCCGTCGAAGCGGGCCGGTGGCGCGGGCGTCGCGATGGCCAATCGCGAACAAAGCGAGTGAACGAGTGACTGTGAACAGTGGTGCATCGGATTTCGGCATTTTCGCCCCTAGTTTCAGGTACGTTGGATTTTGGAAAAGTTTCTATGCCGTTCTAAATTCAAAAAAAGAAAGGAATTATGTTGTCCATACTGTTCGTACGCATTGATGTGGTTCAGACATGAACAAATTGTACCAGGACGCTTAATTGACAGTTTCAATTAATCCGTATAATTTTAATTAATATATCGCTTGATTTAAAACGGATAGTGTACTTTATAAAATTTATAAAATATGCGCGTGCATTATTTCTTCGCTCCGGATATGAGATGCGTCACTCGATTTCTGGTTGCGCAGTATTGTTTGTTTTTATTTTATTTTTATTAAATGTCCTTTCTCCCCATTCTCGCCCTTCATACTTTACTCTATCACATTCCAACCGTGATAGTTAGATGCGTTTAGAGCTTAGATATGTTCGTGCCGCGCCGTTATGTCATTTTAACCGGAAAAATTAATAGTTTGCTAACCAATACGAACACATGCGTGTTATTTGATTACAAAGATCCCAAACATGTGTCGAGAAACCCTCGCAAGGTCGACAGGGATGACGTCACGACTATTATGATGATGCAGGACATATGGGTCGGTGGCGAATGTAGCGCAGTCGACATGACGGGAAGTTACCCACTTGCATAGGACGGTAATTGATTAAGTGGCAGACGCCCATATAGTGTTATACATAACGCCATATATCCGATGACGATACAAAAATACTTACGGAGCGACAATGAACGCGTTAGCTAGAATGTTGTTGTAAGCAAGTCTGTGAACGGCAAGCAGACTGGTTGCGCGGGCTGGATAGCCTAGATCAATTCTAGACATGGACGGACTAAACCTATGCCACGGTGTGTCGCAGTTGATTGGGTTACCTGTCTATAACGAGACGTGCAGCTTATGTTTTGTGGGAATAACTCGATATGTCTTCGAATTATTCTTGTTAGGATAGTAACTTTTCGATTACTGTAACATCATCTATGTAGTAACAAAATAATTGTAAATAAAGACTGTTGAAAACTATTGCAGACGTTAAAATTTGTCTTTTGTTGAGCATAATTTTCTTTTCTAGTTTCTTTTTGCAAGATTTTATTATGTATTAAAGAAATCCAAAGTCATTGCACTGCCAGTCTTCTTCTTTCTCCTGCCCTAATCCCACCTTTGGTGGTCGCCACAACAAATAAATTGTTAATGGTGTTGGGATCACACAAAATATTATTCCTATGATTCATTATTTCATGGCGCCGTTAATTTACATCCATCCATTTGCCAATTGGCTCACGTAAATAATTAATTAAAAATTGACAGCTTCCCACGGGTCCAACCAAAACGACTGTCCTACATTAAAGTTACGCGTGATTCACGTTTGCGTGTTGCGAATGCTAAAGTATTTATTGGTTTCGTTGATACGTTGCGGTTTGTTTTGATAGCAGTTTCTGTGGTTATGTTCTCGAACAAATCTTGAAGGAATCGATGAGGTTTTTAAGAGGTTTTGCAACATATTAACGGATGTAATTGGATTGAAATGAACATGATATTAGTTAACAAAAATGTATTTACCATTATCACTCTTACTTAAGCAGAATTTTATCAACATTTAGGAAGCAATACAAGATAGTGAAAAGAGTAATCATTTAGTATATTTTGTCACTATTTAAGTTTTTCAATTCTACGCTCATGTATTCGTTAACTTGTAAGCACCGTATTCATAATATAGCTGTCGAAATAATAACAAAAAAATAATTTCTAATATTCTAATTCTCTATGCTAGAGTGACCCGAGTTCATATCGTCCAGGTGCTAACACCAGTGAAATTGTTAAATCAAACTTTAGTTGCTGATAAACCGCGATGGATAAAATTGAGAGGAAACTAATTACAATTTTAAGATTTGTAAAAATTCGCCTGTAGGACTCCTTGGTGGACTGAGTTCAGTTACACTATACGAAATGGTTATTGAGAGGCTTTAGTAGATTTATCTATAGTTATTTTTTTTCCATTCGTTGTTACGGGGGATTTTGTCGCGTTTAATTCAAATTTTTAATTCCCAATGTCCGAAGACATTAGCTTTATGTATAGTATTTTTTTCCATTGGTGGTTATTGGGGTTTTGTCGGCGTTTAATTCAGAATATTTAAATCCCCCTATCCGGACTCTACATTTCTACGGTCTCGGGAACACCTTTCTATGTTTGACACTTTTTAAATAGATTAAGTGTCATCCGGTCAAATTTTAAGTTTATAAAATAAATTATTGATCATGTGGGCTTTTGACATAATTTATTTTTTATGTGTAATCCGTGGTTAGTCGAGAACCCTAATATTTAAGTCTCAAGGTTATATATATATATATGTCAGGAGTTCTAGAATGTACTTATTGTAGTCGAACAAATGTCAGTGATTTTTTCAACAACATAAAAGTTGGCAACGGACAATCAAAAATTTGCTATTAATCCGTCCATATACAGCGAACAATACCAGTGTTAATTTTTCCACGTGTAGTTAGCCACAAAATGGCTGCTTGCGCGTTAAATAATGCTGACACATTTCAAATGTTCGTTTTTAAAAAAAGTATAGTGCTTTACTTTTTCTTGCATACGTGTTTAGCTTCAATGCGTCTATTTTCGAATTAGCAAACTGATTACATACCATATACTAAAGTAAACGTAGGTACTAGTAGGTTTTCGTTTGTTAGTGGTGTTCCGTGCGTTGTTTTTGCAACACAACTTTGTGAAATGACAACAACAAATGCCGACGTTGACACGATGACTACACTGCGCCCACGTCCTGACCGCGAGACCATTTATGGACCTCAGACGAGCGACTCACCTGCCAGCCGAATGAATTATTCGCTTCCGTAATAGAAACCGACAAACGGTAAAATATTTGGCACCTATATCGGACGAATTCGTGAAAACGGATATGGGCAAAATAGGCCAATAGTTGGACAGTTAGTCTAACCGGCTAACTGCTAAGTATCGGAACAAAGTGTTAGTACGTAAAGGTTTAAAAAGTGCCCAAAAGGTTTGGGGTCTTTCATGCAGTTAAAATGCTTTTTGTAAGTTACTTGAGCATACCATACCAAACTTAGTTAAAAAAGTTGTAAGTTCAAACTTACAGTTAAAGAACATACGAAATATTTACTTTTTCTTTGGAAATTTACGTAACAACCGCATTAAGTTCGCCAAGCTGAGTTTCCAATTTCATACCAGATTTTTTCGGTATTATTTTCAAATCATGCACTACTCACTACCCAAATAAAAACATAGAGGGTCTCTTCAGCCGTGACGGCGGCCGTACTTCTCTCGTGCGTTCGCAAAAGCAGCAATGATCTCAATAAAAACTCTTAATCAAAACCTGGCTCACTCGACTCGCTCCGTCGCCTCAAAATAGACGAGACCAAAGCAACAGCTCTTTGCCGCTTTGTACCGATTGTCGTAAACACTGTACGTGCTGTTCCGATCTTTATGGGCTATTAAGCACTTGATGCGGGCTTCGGGGAATTAAACTGCAATGCAAGCGAATGTTGCGATATCGGATTCCGAAATTAGCCTTAACCGATCAGAAGTGCAGTGTGATTTGATTTGTTAAGCGAAACATGCCATATGAAACAACCGGTAATCTTGATACGTTCAGCAGTATTACGTTAGAAATAGTAATACAAAACTCTTTACCGGTAAAATTTGAATAATTTAATTAGTAGTCTACAAGTAACATTGGCTTGTTATAGTTTTTAGTTTAGTTAGCATTAATTATATAGGTAGGTACTTAGCGGTTTGTCTAGTAAGCTGCTACAAAAACAATATGGCCGACTTTCTACATTTTCACTTAGCGACTGTTTTTACCTTAAAAGTTTCTACAATTCAACGAAGTTTTAAAGTGAAAATGTGTGTCAGTTTTTAGGGCGTCGCGAATTAAGCTCGACTGGTTGACAAAAAGAACCATTCGTGGTGTGAAACGCGCGTGTCCAAATGTCGAGTCTAGTGCGCGGAACGGAAGGCATTTACCGATTAGTTGGTCAAGAGCGGATGTGTGGTAATACCACATAAAGTAAATAGACAAGGCCTTGATTAAAGTGGTATTATACATTAGAAGGAGTAACACGGTCATGACAGATACCTTTTTATTTCATAAATTTGCGATCTAACCTTCGTTGAATTTCTTTAATTTCGCAACTCGATATGTTACCTAAATGTTTTAGTGTATGTTTTCTAGATTACATAGTTATTTGTTGATCTCAACTAAATTTAATAATTATGGTACGAATAGAAAAATATAAAACCAATATGTTTAGTTTAATTACTGAATTTTGTAATGACTTTCGATAATTGACGATTGTAAACTTTCTGCCCATACCAACTAAAATTCCGGAAATACAAAAACAGGCATAATTAATAAAAATTATAAATATGTTTAAACGCTCGCAAACTAAATCGTATGTAGGTGGTTATGGTGTAGGGCACAACGAACGAGGTCAGTAATTAATTGAACGGACTGGTTTTGTATGAAATTAATATGCATGAGTTTAGTTCAAAGCAACAAGTACGCTACCGAAAAGAAGTCCAGTAATGACATGAAATGAAAAAAATATATTCACAAGTAGGTACTACACTTTAATTTCGTTCTTTCTACGTTTGATGATGACTTTAATGGGAAACTACTATCTAAATTAAGGTTGACATCTTTAATGGACAATATTTGTGCGTTCAGTGCTTTGAGACTCTTTAATGCTGCATTAGTTAACATTTATATGTCTTGTTCATGTGAAACATTAGCACACTAGCAGCTAACCATGGTCATCTGCAAAAGTCAAACAAAAAAGGGAGGTGGACGTGGTCAATCTATAAGAGTATTAAGAGTATACTGAATTGGGCCGAATACTGAAACGTTACTTAAATATTTAAAGGCACCTTTAACATTTGAGCAGCTCGTAAACACTAAATTCGTCAAGTTAAGTTGTACCTAAACGCTACTCAGTGAAAATTTCGTATACTGAAACGCCACTTAACGCTATTTAGCTGGGTTCCTTCA